CACTGCAGAACCCTATTAGGATGAAAGAGGCGGGTGCCGATAAACGGAGAAGTATACGAAGCAGACTAGAAAAAAGCGTTTTACTGATGTCAACCACGACGGCGGGAAGCAGGTGGGCTAGAATGTAATAGAAGGCAGCATAATGGAGCCAACGACAGCGTCGGCAAAATCGACGAAAGCACATAACAATCAGCTGCAAGAATATGGAGAAAGGAGGCCTGCATCGTTAGTGTAACGAGGGCGAAAATTCCCACCTAGATAAAACTAGGACACATCACGACAGGGAGTCTACGTGCAGTTGAATTAATTTATAGCCTGATAGTACAACCGATATTCATATTGCTGTTACACTATTTATATACTGCCTGCTATAATTAACTTGCCGGTAGTATGTATATCGTAGTGGGTTAAACCCAAGAACAGCTTAGTAACGAACTATCTATTTTTCTTCATCGACGGACATATTTAGTCTCGACGTCGGAACTCCACCCACTTCATAAAAACGTGGAACTGTTACGCAAGTATACAGATCAGGGATACACTGTAGGGACTGTCTTCCCCTAGCGCGCCGCGCATCAGGTTCTACCTAAACGAAGTTGACCACGTGGCAAAAACTATGACAGCGTATAGATCATAGATTGATATTTCTCAGGCTAGAGTAATGACTTAGTTCACCAATGAAAAATTATTGTTACGTTGTCGGCATAACCTGATCGTCTGCTGGACAGCGAATTATTTTTCATTGCGGCAACTACCGTTATTTTCTTTTTTCTACGAATTTATTTAAAAACGCAGGGAAATCATTTCAGTATAATTCAAGACTTTAGCTACTGTAGAAGCACAGTAACCCGGAAGGTATCTCAAGACAGGACACATGAGCGACCCAAAAATCGGAATCAAAAGGCATTGTTTGAGTCATCTTTTCTTTTGCGTTGGAGTTAACTTGTGTGTAAGTATCTGATGCATTTAAACAGAAAATTATTAGGGGTTTATGATGAGAATGCCTTTAAAAGATTCGTCCGTCATACTTATTCTAGACCGCCTGTATAGTTTCAATAGCCTAAATAGGTTCGGCTGCTAATTTTGTGCGATGATTAATAGGGACCCATGCTATACGCACAACGTACTTCGTGGCTTACTACTACTACTACTACTACTACTGTGTTACTCATCGTTAATTCTATATACTATAGTCAACCGGCGAAAGCTGGTGTAAGAATCCGGTTCAAACTACTTTAAGCTTTTCCTTTTTCTAGCTGTTCTCCTATTTTATTTTAAATTGCTAAAATAAACCAATTAATATTAGCTTTTATTTTTTCTACGGGTCAAAGTTCTTACTACGTATTTTATAGAGTACTCCTCGGATCATTGTTATCCCTCATCTACCTCGTAGCAATGAAGGCTGAACAGTAAATGGCAGAAAGGTAGGCTAGCCGCAGGGACAACGCATCAGAAAAGTTAGCTCGAGCCAAAGCTTTATCGGATTTAGGATTTAGCGTTGCCATCCAGCCTATCTTCATTGCTACATGTCGGTCCTGCTGCCTCTGTGTATGCCTGTGTGAAGACAAAATGTGTCAATATTCGCTGCGGCTACAGTTCGCGTGACGTGTAAATTATCTCAGTCTTCATCGAAATCAAGGACCTGTTTTGTTCAGTAGCTCGCGATACATTCCGACCGTAACAGCTCCGGGAGAACGAACTGTTCGAGGTTGATCGGTGACTATTTATTTATCCGCTTGAGTGCTTGATTTGTCAAATTACTAACTATTTAATTTATTTGTTTATCTGTCCGACTTGCTGTTGCAGCTCGACGAGATCACTGCTGTTTGCTGAATAACTAGTCATCTAGCTTGGCTTCTTCAACGGAAATATGCCACCCTAGTGACCTAATGGGCTGCCTTTTAGCACGTTGGCTGGCACGGACAATGTCGAAGTGAGGGAAAGCGCACAAGAATCTAAACATCTTCCCTTTGTCGTGTGGGCTTGCCCCTTACTCGTCGCCGTGCGTCAGTGCGTGTGCGCATGTTATCAGGTTATAGCGTGTTCCAACAAAGCCAGCACGCGCTTATTGATATTCCGGCTAAAAGAAAAAGGAATACAGGAGTGCGGAAAGGCTGCTAGCGAGAAGAAATCACTAAAGCCAGGGAAATTCCCGTAGACGTAAGACGCTGGTCATGTTCTATTATAGATAGAAAGATGAAACGACAGCGTGAACATTGGCGGTGGCTACCATTGAGAACAATGAATGGCAAATGGCCATGGCTGGCACGAAATGGACCATAATAATATACAACAACAGCAGCAGCAGCAGCAAAAACAACAAACAACAACGACAATAATAAACAAACAAGAATAGAAGAATGATGAATGGCACCAACAAGATTGCGGCCCCGGTGGTGGTAATATTGGCTCCGCAGAGAGTCTGATTTTTGTATGGGTGTGGGGGCAAAGCAAAAAATAGCGAGTGCTTGGTTTTGCAATATCAGTGAAAACGTTTGCCAAACGAAATGAACGTGCGATTGAAGGGGCTGACGGGGGCTAGTGAGCAACTGCGCAAATCGAAGTCAAGTAACAATAGAGCTTAAATGAGAAGGCAGTCTTATCAGTTTAAAGATGCATTTGAAACATAAGTATACATTGTTGAAAGCAGTTCTATTGAACCTGCGAATGCAGAGAGTTCATCTTATTTTCATCAGACGTATATTGATCCAGATAGATTACTCTAGAAACCTGCGAACCGGTATAGCCTACTAATAGAGTTTTCCTTAGTAATTTACGTGCGTATACCCTAGACCACTGACACCTAGATCATATCCAAATGGCAATAGAAAGATTGGCATCACATATTGTACGAGTGAAACTCATCCAGTTTTGGCAACAGACAATTCTTCCGCATGGCGAGAAATACAGGCTTTCGGATAGCCTACCATGTCCTCGACTGCCGCATTAACGAGTTCGCATGAGCCCTTACGGTGCAGGACCTAATGGTACAGTAGGGTCGAAAACCCAAGCACGCCTATTGCGCCTAAGTATATGGCACCGGCGCAGGCAACCGGTTCTTTCGATGATTCAAGCGCACGGTGGGGTCGCATTCTGTACGTGTTCTTCTTAGCGGTATCGCCGACTCAGTTGTAACGTAAACATTCGAATCAAATCGATACATCCTGAATAACGATAACTCCTAGCCTATCTGACATGCTAACGCCATTATGCTCCTGTTATATTTTTGCAAGGCCACGCGTTTTTTTCGTCGTACATGCGCCACTGCAACTTTTACTTGTTTGAAAGAATGGCATTGAGTTCGGGTAAAACTGAAGCCGCTGTCACCCCAAGGTGCTGCTGAAACTTCAGCCATGAACTAGCCGACACATAATTGTATCCGACCACAGTTCAATTGCAGTGCCATAGCAGCTGCGTCTGAACAACTATGCGCTGGGTCATCTGCCCAACAGCCACGGTTTCCTACTGCTTATACCTAGAGGCGCAAATAAAAATTTTTCGTTCATAGTATCGGATTCGTATTTTTGATATCCTGCAAAAATGTTAAAGATTTCAAATACCATTGATAATAACTGTCGAGCTACATTGATCTAGTTAAAGGGAATATAATTTCTACCCTTCAATATATAACGTAAGGTAGCGAAAAACAGCTTGCGAGATGTGTGTTGCACGAAACTGACTCAAGTTCTTCTACTTTATTATTATAATATTTCTATTTACTAACACAGATGTTCGTAAGTACGGTTACGAAGTGAGGAAATATGGAATATATTTGGCTGACAAAAATTATTCCAATCACTCCGAAAAGTTCCATAGAAGAACGTTTATTTACTAGCAAGAAACAGTTTTATCTAGTATTCAACTTTGTATGTATTTTGTTTGTCTAGATCTGAGTTTCAGGCAAGTGTGGACCTGATTCGCCTAATGCGCTTCTTCGTAAGTCTAAAGCAATATTCTTTAGCTTTTCCGCCTGCCACTACCTTAATTGGGCATTGCTTCATAAGTCTAGTACGTACCAGATAGCTCTAAGGTTAGCTGAAAAGAATACAGAACATTTTAGCTGTCGATGCTAAGGGCGCAGAACTTGGATGAAGTTCAATTTCTTGTAAGGTTTAGCTGCGTACCGATCACTCACTGAACATTCGTACGCCACAAGAGCTGGCCTATTGATAGATCCCATTGACGTTTTTCGTATGCAGTTTATGATGCAACCAATTTCAAATCGTTCATTTATACAACTCTACCAAATGTCGACTATTTTCGTTTCGGTTGCTGGCTAGAGGTACCACAGTTCTTCGAAAAACGCCGCTGTTTATAGCTTAGGCTATATTTTCTCTGAACTGGCTGGTCTGTAGCGGTTCTAAATGTCAAGTCAAGGAAAGAGTCAAATTTAATTCGAACTATCTTCTTTCATTACTATCTTAGGATACGAATGTATAAGTCGAAAGTTAATATTGTAGCATTATTTGGCACCTACGAAGATGCGTACGCGCCTATACAAACTCACATCACGCTGTTTAGAAGTAAGATATTATATATATATATATATATATATAATGAAGATGTAGCTAAAGTAATTTGCTGACTCGTAAATTAACACAACATCAGTTTTTGTGATAGAATAAAAAGTCAGCAGTATTAGTTGGGATACTTCTGCAGCTGCTCTTTAGCCAGGCAAAAGGTGCGGAAGAACGATCTACGAAAAAACCTCTCATGCCGTTGATCGTACTGATGTGCTGTCTTGCCAACGGTGCTCGTTACCATTTCTGCTATTGCCGCCGAGATGTCCGCCACTGCTCATCGTCCATTGTGATGCTCCATTTTCGCGGCTATTCCTTCGACCGCAACTTTTTTCCCCAGCCTGATAGCGGTGTCCAGCCCTATATACGGAATGTCGAAGCGCGGCGTTGAAGAAGGATAAAAAAAAAATGGCTGTAAATGCGTATGAACGGCTGTAGTGCAGTAGCCCTGCTCGTATAGCTATCATTGAAATTAAAAGCAGCATCAGCAGTAAGACGATTGACTGCAGCCAGGCCCAGCCAAATTGTCAGCATTTTCGCTCTGAGCGGCCTGCAAAACGCTCAGCCTGACCCAGGTTGCAGTACACTGACAAGTGGCGTTGGACGACCAAATGACTGCATTGGTGCAGCAGTTGTAAATTTCTTTTCATTATCGTTTATTTTTTCATCTAACGAAAAGTGCTTCAGTCCACCAATGTAATCAGCTAAGCACGTATCTGATTACAGGGAAATATACAATGCCGCTTTCAGACAGAGCGGTCTGCGTCGGGAACGAAAGTTTACCTAGAGTAACTTGTATTGACAGAGGATGCATATTCAGATAGGGAGTTTTCAACTTGATGAAGTTCGAAATTATACTTTACCTTACCAACAATTTCAGCTTTTGCAATATCGAGAGTTATTATTACTCAGGCTTGCTGCGATTTATAAACTCTTGGTAATATCTCGACCGTAGTACCAAAGCCACGTGCAGCACAATGTATTTTTGCTATAGAGGATAAATAGTCTGCATTATTGAAATCTTGAAGATGGCAGAACAAGCAAAGCTTAAAGAAACATCTTTAATCAGTAGAGTAGAAAACTTTTTTTGCCATAACATAAGATCTAAATTGACACTAGAGGACGCATAGCGTTGAACATCTCAATGCCAGCGGCAGTGTCGGGACCATTCGGAAACGTGAAATTGGGCACATCATTGCCAACGCTAATGCGTCCGCTTGACCCAACGCAAGCGATTCACTTCGGTGAGCGTCGCAAACGACTTCAATTCCTGCCGAAGTAAGTAGTCACCATACATCTTTATTGCAAGTGTGCTTCAAGATGCTTGCTGTGTCTATACGAACTGGCCGGACAACAAGTAACTCTGGACAACATTGTTAGAAACACGGTACCTGCACCCACTTTTTCGTGCAGGTGCGTACTCTCAGTGGCGGCAAAAAATACCACCCAATATCGACGCAGTCGGACAAGTGGTGACTTTAAGCTCACTAGAAGATCAACAGCTGACGAGTAAAACCTGACGACGGCTTCATCATTTGAATGGCACAACTTCTCTCATTCTGCAGTCTGTTATTTGGAACCTGTTTTCGTGTTCCCTGTTATCGTTAACCGACGAGAAATCCACTCGACGCATGACAACAACAAGATTTACCGTTACCGATCGATAGTTTGCCCGGTACATCAGCAATCCTGCGATACATTGGCTGGATTTAGCGTCGATTTTCGTCGTGATCATCTAAAACGATTGTTCGCTGGTCGCAAACTCGTCCCCATACGAAACTTTGACGGCTTTCGAGGAAGGAATAGAAGGAACTTTCTGAGTCGACTCCCTCCCTCGATCCGCATCGTGACTATCACCGTTAGCACCAGCGTGTTACTTCTACAAGGCTAAGCCTATAGCTTACGAGTGATTGCAAACGGTGCACGCTCGTCACTAATGCAATGGTAACTATAACAGCAACGACACGACCTGTTTTGTCACGCTCATCGTCTCTAAATTTTGTCTTAGAAGGCGAAGCAGCAGTACGGGACGACCAGTCCAGCGACAGGGCAACGGCAACAACAGCATCGTCGCTATTGTCTCGTCGAACATATGATTTATGTCGAGACATCGAGTGGTGGTAACTGGTCGTTGTTGTTTCGTCGCTGCAGCTATTGCCATTGTCACACTGGCGTAGTTGGGTTTGTTGTCTTTGTTGGGTGCCGTTAGCCATTGGCACAACAACGAGCCTATGTCTACCAATTGCTGCTGTTCTTCGAATAGCTTAAACACTGACTGGTTAATTCCTTCGCACACGGCAACAACAAGAACAACAACAAAGTGATTACCATCGACAAAAAACCGAAGCCGAAGGACACTGGGTATTGCGGGCTCTAACTGTCTGATGCCGCTAGGGAAAACGTCAGTGGCACCAGGACAACGAGCAAACGTCATCTAATGGGTAAACCGGACGATGCTCCACAGGAATGCCTTGCAACTTCAATCTAAGCAGCCAAACCGATCGGCCCATAGGGGAGCCTGGCCCAGCCAGTAAATGGGCCCATAACCTGGTCCAAGAACCACCGTGTCTGAACTATGACTGGTTGGTTGGTAACTGGTGTATCGTTGTTTCATTTTGTTTAGTTTTACAATGTATATACATGTATATTGGTACAACTGGTAATGCGGCGGTCTTCCGCATATCTCGGACTGACAAGAAAACCTGTCCAATATACATCGTCTACGTTTTATCTTGCAGATTACAAAACAAAATAGTGTGTCTCCCAATTACGTATATACTTTGATGAAAAAACTCTTATGATCTATATATATATGTATAAAAAACACGTGTGCACGATTTCGTTGCTTCTTTCAGTGCGCAGTGCAATTTAATCTACCGCAACTATCAATCGCGTTATCAGAGATATGCTAGAATGAAGCTTTGCGTCTAGTAATTAAGATATTGGCCATTGCCTCAGCCGGTTGGTTCCTAATGTGAAACAAAGTGTATATACTTTTGAAGTGAAACCATTGCGGGCCCTTACTACCGCTATGCAACGCCATCGCGCACAATAACAACATTTATGGCGTTAATAATTGAATCTTTGCTACGGTAATATCGAAATATACGCGCCTTTACTCGGTCCTAGTCCTACAAGGCCAACCACTTTACTGTCATTGTCACCCTCAGAATTAATAGTAAACATGAGCAGCATTACGGTGTAATTAATGGCCGGCATCAATACTCTTGCTTCCGGTAGAGATCATGACTCTGCTGAGTGTTATTTGTGCAGCATATGCCTTACGTCCACATTAACCGATGGCCACCATTGCCGCGGCTGTGATTACTTCTAATACATCTTCAGTTACTTCATATCTTGGTACTGTTCTCATCCAATGAGGAATACGCATTGTCGTGTTGGCGCTAACGACAGCCGTATTAATATGAAAACACGTAGCACATGGGGCCGTCCGCTCGCGAGTCATTAATTTTTTTTTATGTTATTACTGGTCAAGCTTATTATTAAGTAAGCTAGATTAGGGGCGTTTGTAATGTATGCTCCCGATAACAATGCTGGTAATGATAATTACTACAAATATGATAACGATAGCTACAATGGGCGCATCGCTGATCACTGCAGTTGATCATGGCATGATACTGCGGACAATGGCAGCGGTAGCAGCGGCGTCACGGATCTTCACCAAATAACGAAAAGATGCATAGCCAACGCTTTGGAGAGCTTCGGCCGAACTTGGCAAGAAGCGACAGCACGAGAGGTAAAACCTGAAGATGATAAGATGCATCCGATGATGAAGATTATAAGAATAATGAGGATAAAGTTGATCACATAGTTATCAAAGATGCTAGAAATTGTAACGTTCATTGCCTCGTTGTCTTAAGCTTAAATTAATGTGCAAAATGTTGTAAAAACTGAAAAAAAAACTTATTTCCATGATAAGATTATTGCTACATGTAGCATGTGATTAGCGTATGGCGTAGTGGTAGATTGGTTTGGATACTGTGACGCTAGAGACTTTCGGGCTCGGTTTCCTGTTGAAATGCTCAAGCTAACTGAGTTTCTATTGTGTCTATAATGAATATCTACGGTGCAGTGATATCTAACCAACGTGAATATGCCTGTGTGCCCTTTACGAAATGCATTTTATCAGAAAACTTGATAGATTTGATAGAAAAGAAAATTTGAGATTGATTTTCAAAGGGCATTAAAAGTTATCTGCCCCGCTATCTGACACGCTGTGGCTGCATTGCCTTGGTATCTTTATCTTCACAAATTCGACAATTATTTTACGTTGAAAGCTAAATCATTAAAACCGTTTAGGACGCCTGTGTCGAAATAAGGGAAAAATGTACGCTTTCCTCCGATTGGTTCTTTTGTAAATCAGGTTTGCGATTTTATTTCTGTCTAGCCATCGTCCCTCGTGTTTCTGCTTGGGACGATATCTGATAACAATGAAGCTATACGACATAAGAATCTGCCTGTTTCTATTCGTAAAAGTCTCTTATTCTGTAATAGTACCAAAAGTTCTATGAGTAAACTGTATCAAACAGCACGAGTCGATAATCTGCGGTGAGCTCGTTGGACTGATATCAAGACTCAGCATTCGGTGAGCAAAGTGGGTTTTCAATGTTCTTTAATACTCCATTGCCTTCAATATAGCTCTTTTTTTTGGCCTATATTAATTCTATGGTTTTGTATGCCATCAGATTTGCATATATGATGCCGGGTTGATTGGATCAACGGCTGCAAACGCTTGATTCGATGTTGTTGTTGTTGTCATTATTGTTACTGTTGTAGATCTATCGTGCACAATTTAATTTGCGCTTGATGCGTCTGAGACATGTAATAACATCTCGTAACGTTTCTGCGCAGGCGCGAATGGCAAGGCGCGAACGTTTCATAACGTTCACGCCTCTTCTTCTCGTTCACGTTCTCTTGTTTATCTCTGTTGTCTGCATGTTCGTCTGCTGGGCAGTCTACCCGCGTTTGTCTACAATACCCTATTGCGGTATCATTGCATTCTATCGTACACAGTCCAATCTATGCCCAGTAGATTAATAATGTAGTTAGTGACGTTTAAGATCAGACATTGACTTATATCGATCGCCAGCTGACGCAGACTGGCAAGTCCTCCAGTCAGCGCCTGACACCACCTCTAGTAAACCTATGGTCAAGTGGGCCACAGCTTGCAATGAGGCGCCAGGACGTTGGGCCTGCCCAGAAGCCTCGGGGGCCCAACGGACACGCCGTTAAACGATGTCTGTCATACTTGCATATATTCCAAAATACGTGTGCCAGCATTTCAACGTTCGGTGCTCTCAGCCCGTGCAAGCCTGCTATTACATTGAACGCTTGCCAAACAGCTCTGATGTGGCTGAGAACCACGGTTTTCTCGCTAAAGTACGTTCACCGATTCGATTAACAGTCTAGTAATGAAATTAATACTAGAACAGACATTACATTAGCATCAATTAAGAGAAACGAAAGGTCAACCATAGGGCAAAGACACATACTTTGCCGAGTGAGGCAAAGTAAAGAACTCGAATCTCTTGCTCAGTTCAGCCAGTGGCCCTTCCCTCCGTCCTGACTGCCGCTGTAATCGGCGGCGAAAAACGTAATCATGTCGCCAGTTATCGAATACGGTATTCACGAATATCTGCTGGCAGTCCGCTTTCCTATCTTAATAGTTGTTGAAAAGCATCAAGGTCACTCAGAATCGTACGTTGGAAATGGAAGCATGGACGTTGAATGTAGTGTTAATCCAATGGGAAGATCTAGTAGAAGAAACGCTCTGTGGACGTGCGTCCAACGAATTGTCGATATTCCAAGAGTTGCGGCCGCTGCGTCGTGCGCGCCTTCTACATGGACGTGGACTTTGCGAACGCGTCGACCCAGCCGTATCTTGACGGCAATCGATTTCGAGCGCAGTCTAAAAGCGACGCCATCAACAATGAAAGATAACCACAACAACAAACGACAGCAAATCTCATATTATAATTTTCATGAATTGTTTTTTTGAACGGTATGGCCATCCGTTATACATTCGGATACGCGCCATGGATAAAGGAATTTCCCTCTTCGTACAGGTACGTCTTTACCGAATTAGCGTCTCGCTTGTTTGTCACAAAACGTATTTGGTTAGAATCGGAACTTTGGTAATTAGACTTTTAGAGAAGGTCAAGTGTGCGGCAGATATAAACGACAAGTCAACCTTGAAACTAGTTTCCTCGAGCTAGAGAGAATAGGCTAGCCTATTTTAAGATGCTTTAACGGTTATTGTTGCTAATAAACAATGAATGTTCAATGATTCATCCTGCTCAAATGTTCTGTTACCGTTCTGTTAACGAAATTTCTTAGATCTAATTGTCCTATCCGCTAATTGTGGCACTGGGGCGGGTTCTTCAGTAACCTAGCCTGTACTCTGCGTTAGTTCGAAGTTGTCAACTCGTAATTCAGATAGGGGAATTGGTAAATGGAGCGAGCTCCTTCTGCCGTAACAAGCCGGTACCCATTTATCTGCACAAAGTGTCTCAGCAGAGATAAAGTAACGCTAATGATACTATTGCCTCACATGGAGAACGCCATGTGAGGCATTTTTTCATTCATGGAAAATGATCCAGTTAGAAACTAGGCATTATGTTTTGGGAAACGAGAAAGGACGCCAATTAGCTACATGGTTTATGTCGGAATGTATTTCTACTACTGATTAATTCGCCCTTCATTATCGAGTATTTAATTGGCTGTTTTAGGCTGCAGATATAGAGAACAAAGGCAAACTTTTCCACTGTATATATTTGCTTGCTGAAAAATCATCTTTCACTTATGTTAGAAAAACGATAGTTCGGGTTCTTTGCGGTTTTGTTTCGTTCAAATTCGTATGCTTCTGAACGAGAGCAGCCTGCTTATGCCGACGGATATTAACGGGAGACAGATTTGACCTTCAACGTCGACGCAATCATTGCTTCTAGGGTCTTCTAGAGACATAGTAATACTAATAATGGTAATAACGAGTCGGTAAAACTGCTACGCTCATGTTGATCTACTCGGCTTGCTCGTTGTCGATTCTGCCGTTGGGGTCCAATTGTCTACAAGCTCATGTAGCTATAGTACCCATGCGGATGAATAGATATTCATCGGTCTTTCTGCCATTATGTTCTCATAGTTCCTGCATTATGGCCTCACGTAGCTGATGGTACTGTCGCTGCGGCGTATAGTAGTAGCACGGTTATGACCGAGTGTAGGGGCGCTGTCTTGCCAACTGGTAGCCACCTGTCTGGGTACTTCGTGAAGTGGAGCAGCTTTTAAAGTGAGCTATTTCAAAAAAGAGGGCAACTCGAAGGTATCGCTTAGTGTCAGGGTGTCCTTGGGAGGAAGCGTTCGCTCAAATGAATAAATGATGCGAAATAGAATAAACGTTTCATTCAAGTCATACGCTTTTATGGCCGGAGGTGGACGGACAACGTCTATTGCACGCTGATGTTCTCCTTTTTTAGCCTAAACCGCAATCTAGCAAAGCACTTCATCAATAAATGCACGATCGTGTCTCATTTTTTTTTTTTTGGTACGAACGATTTCAATCAACGCTTGACCTGAAAAGTATATTTTCTCAAAGGGTGTTGAGAACTCAAAAACTGTCATAGACTTGCATTGTATATTCACTCCTCTAGTATCTAAAAATAGCTGTCACAAATTAGCGTGACTGACCATTTCAAGTTCCTGTACGATGTAAGTGCTCGTGTTTTTTTCTAAAGTCCTTTCTTGTGGCAACTGAATTAAAGTGGACGGAGTTTCCGGTACTTGATGACTAAACATATGTATCGGTAGCATAAAGTAGACGATATATTACTCTCTCTTAAGAAAGCTCGGAAAAAGGAGAACACATCTTTTAAGTCCATTCTGCTAGCTGAGCTTCTTAAATCAGAACTTGCATGGCGAGACCTACTCTTCTACGTTTATAAGGAGCACTTCCGGTTACAAGGCGTACTAGGGTAATTTTTCTATCGATGCGCACCGTGATTTGGACGCAGTATGTAGCCGTCACTCAGGAGTAGTTAACGAAAAATGCCTATAGCATTTCTACGTAAGAAGCGCCGATTAGGAGGCAAACAATTTAATCTACCTAGGTGTTTTGTGGTTATCTGACCTGGAATCGAAAAGCGAGTAAGGACGACTTCCGACAATGAAAGCTATCGACTATTTTGCGTTAACCCACTGTCATCTACGTTTACGCATTGCGTCGGGTGGTAAAATGCAGCGTTGGGATGACGTCAGGTAGTAAACGGCGAACCAGCCACATAACGTGGAATAATAATATAACTGTTGCATTGCTTTCGTTATTCTTTATGGAAAAAATCAAAACGGAACACGTCATCGCGCCGTCTGACAGATAAACTCAGTAACAAACACTAACGGGATTCAAATAGGTTCGATTAACAGGACTATTGGTTTTTTTTCTATAAATGGCTTAGTTTATTACTGAGCACAATACGATACCAGCATCGAACATCGGTTGATTTACTTATTGTGATGATAAAAGCTATTGAAGCCTGTGCCACATAAACAAATAACAAAAGTCGGATTTATTTATTCCACGTTATGTCCATGACGTAACTAGGAGTTATTTTATTCGGTGTTCAGAAGTCACTGCAGACTTGCGTCTGAACGCCGATGTTATATCAGCACACCGATCAGACCGACTTTAACGGCAATAGGAATAGCAGCAATATCATAATAATAACCACTAAATAATAATAACAACCATCGGAGAATGATGCGATAGTAATGATAGAATATATAGTATCTAAACGATGACGTTTTTCTGAGCTGAGAGCCGATGCTGCGCTGCTTGGCTCTCGCCCGCTTTCGCATCTAACTTAAGCCGTCTTGCACTTCGATCACTGGTCAAACAACGGGAGAGCCAAATGATCCGTATCCGTCTGCTTCTTCTCTGAAATCGATCGGACTGCGAGGAGACCCCGTGCGTAGGTATCTCAGATCTATGACGACGGTCGTGCCATGTTCACGAAAACAGGTACGCCCGATGGGTCAGAGTTGAGCGATGCCTTGGCAGGCCGCCGCAGAGAACCCATAGCTTGACCAACAAGCAATGGCAACGAATTTTTCTCTGAGCAGAGATATAGCTTCGTATAGAAGAAAAGAAAGAATAACATCGGCCAGATTTACAAAATAAGGAGTGATGTGGTCGGCAGAAAGGGCGGCAGTAGTGGTAGAAACGTACACTAAGAAATCTAGGACCCGCGACGATAAACGACATTCCTTTGATTTAAACCAGCCCTTCAGCCAGCGTTTCGTCCTGCAGGCGGTATATCTGTGTCTGTACGTGCACGTTCGCGCATTAATGTTCCAATGGATGCGACGACACACATACAAATAGCAGATATTCTGCGCGTGAAACCGTTCTGTTTACAATACGGAATCAAAAACGAACAAGTATTTATTGTTCATCATAGCGTTTGTTGCTATGACGCTTGCAAGACGCGGTTAACGCGTCCGAAGCAGACTCATCATGAACTGCCATTTACAAACCACCGGTTGGACCAGCAAAGGTGTAGCTATCTGAAAATAGGGCAGATAACGGTTACCGCCATTGTGGTCGAGTGACGCAAAATCAGCTAGCCCATATATATATATATATATATATATAAGTGTATAAAAGGTAGAAATAAAGCTAAATCCACATTGACCCGTAAATTCACAGGGATGTGCACAAATCGCCAGGCCGATAGGCCGAGTAGCCGGAAATTCACAAGGGTATAATAATGTAAAGTAGATTTAACAGCTCCACAGCCTTGTGAAGTATGGATATTTGTTATTAATAGATGTCGCTGATGCTGCGGTAGGTTTTGCGTCCGTCAAGTAACAGAGCTGATTAGTATAAGCAGAAAGTTTTAATCAAACTTAACTAGCTAGCCACTAAAGAACATAATTGCTTTGACAGTTTTTTTAAAGACCTGACAGTCTAAGTTATAACCTAGAAAGCAATGCTATAATGATTTCTATGGGCTTAAGTAGTATCAGACACTACAATCTAAAATAATAGTATTACCACATATCCATATGTGCAATTTGTTAAAATTATAAATATACGTATTAATGGCGCGTGTTTGTTTTACCTAATGCTCAGTTATATTCAAGCCGTCTGGAGAAAACAAAAATTCGACGACATCCTGTCCCCAATGATTAGCGTCCGATAACTAAAGCTGTTGAAATCCATTTTTAAAACCATCTGTATGATTGAATAACATATAATATCCATCTTCGTGTACTTGAGCGTGCTGTGAATACGGCACTTGACACAAATCATTTTCCATTGAGTGGAACCGAAAATTGACTTTCACCCTTCTTCATTTTCTCGTGCTTGCCATTCTTCCACTGCGTTCTTCATTCTATTTGTCTGTTACGTCGTTCTTTATCCTTCGGTCATCTTCATTCGTGTGCAGCAGTAGCAATAAGCCCTGCCGCCGGCGTCGCTCGATCTATGTAACCTCTTCATATATAAATGCTAGCTAGCTAGCTAGAAGCGATACGGTGCGATGCAACGCGATCGATGTCAGAGATGCGGTACAGCGGAAAGCGCCGGCACAGCGAAACGATTGTATGGTAACCGGCACGTGTCTTCCATTGACTGCAATCACGCTCTATTCACATACAACACAATGAATGTCGCAGCGTTACGCACCGCGTCAGACAAGCGACCACCAAGTGCATAAAAACAAACGGCATCGGTAAGGGATCACTCACCCCGCATGATTGCCCCGCAAGGTGCCGACGTTGATGGTACGGATGATGCTGGTGGTGACGGTGATGTTGCTGTGGGCGACTGCTTCCGAGAGGATGCCCCCGATTCTCGCTTCTTACCCTAGTCGTCGATAATTGCAAAATTGGCATAACAAAGTATGAACAGCAGAACAGCTCCTATTTGAGCCAGGAAGATAAGCACCGTTCATTCGAATAATATCACAATAAAGGAGAAAATAAAAGTTAGTAGATGAGGAACAATGGCGAGCGCGTATTCACTCTGGGATATATCATTATCATTGTACGCGAGGGGTCCAAAAGAGAGACAGTTTTTAAGAAATTACGCGATTCGAGCGCTGAACATTGTGCTCCAAAATGGGAGTCCTATCGAAATTAATCGACACTAAAAATTATCCGAGCTTCACTTATTCAGATGAAACTGCAACGTAAGTTTAAGATCCGGTAAATGAGATATATATGATAACAGAAATGTATAGGATTCTCAGATCTTTCGAAACTCGCATTGATGTGTGGAAAGGAAACAGCTTGATTGAAACATCCGAACCTGAATTGACTTCAACAGAAATCAATAATCTGAGTGCTCGATGCGCCCTAATCGTTGTGCTTACTATTCATTGTTGTGGCAAGCAGTAGCATACGTACGGTGAGAGAAGACTCAATACGTGATCTTCGATATTGCAGCGCGTTTATTATATTGTGCCATTGAATTGGTCGCCATAGAACCTGATGTATACTAAACAACTAATTGCTAATAACCATATCGTTAGAATTGTATGAATGAAGGGATACGTGCTCATATACATATATATACTAGCCTTCAAGATCCTTCAGTTAATCCTGCGTCAACCAAGCGAAGCGTCAGTGAATCATCACGCTATAGCAAGTCGACGTAAGTGGAGGTGTTTCATATAGATTATTGTATCTATTGTAGTTAGTCCACAACATTTTTATCATTACTATTATTATTATTATGGTTGACACATACTATTATCGCCGCTATATTTGCTCACTTAAAACAATTAAAGTGCCCCGTTCATCTAGCATAAACAAGCACGAACCTTCTTCAATGGTAGTTAAGGGAAGAGCACTGAACTTAACTGCTACGGTCACCTTTCGTGCCAGGCAGCAAAAGCAGCTTCGTATAGACACACATATGTATGTACATATATACAATTGCTGCCCGTAGTACCGTTTGGTCGAGCTCAGGTGGGGCAAGCGGTATGTTACATCTAGATAAAAATCCCTGCAAATGTTTCTTGGAAAACAAACAAATTCATGACACTGTCGCGTGTTGTACGTGATCACGCGCCCTATATCGTATAAGTACAAGTATGTACTCACTGAGGCCTCACAAGATTATCGCTGCGAACCGCGATTGTGGCGCAAGTATGTTTGTAAACTGGATAAAAGAGTATTGTCATTGAGGATTTTTATACTCTTGTGTTTGTGCTTCGCCTGCGCCGGCCAAAAACCTTGGCTATATGACTAATTTAATGGAGAACGTACCACCTGATTCTGTAAAAAATTGTGTAAAATATTGTTTGCGTTCGCAGTAACTGACGCGGTCCAGTTCCATAAGTTATAGAAACAACAAATCAAGTAGTAAACGGTACGGAAGTCAGTTTAGCTTTAGTACATCGACAAGCTGTATCTAAACACAGAATTTCTTATATTAACATATGGACAAAAACGTGTTATATATATATATTTTTTTTTACAGAACTTAAATTTAACGCAGTGGCAGAATATAAGTTCTGTCCACTGTGTCATAATACAGAACGAATTACTAGTCACACCATAAACGCTCCATCATGTTACGCTTGCGGATCGTGAATAGAATGCCAGTACAAAGTAAATGAAGCTTCGATTCATATATGACTATGTTGTGTATTTGTGAACATTGGTGCTAAGTTCGTTGTCTTTCATGGCCGGCAACTGTATTTTGTAGGAAGCATCTGATCATTTCAGATATTTGTCTTTTTAGGCGAAATGGAGCGTGAAAATTAAGGGGCGCCACAAGGAGCGGAACACGCCGGTGCGATCAGTGACTGCAGCTAAAAGTACCGTCCCTGTTTTTCGTCAAAGAACTACTTCCTTGTATAAAAAATCATAAAAGCTTAAGGTACGTTCAAAAAAAAGACAGTCCAATATTACAAAGACTACGATAAATCCAGCACGCCCTGTCAAGTATTAGACGAGTCTTTGACGCTATTATAAGAGCGGGCACTATTATAGGGAAGCGTTATAGATACGAATTTTGTGATGGTTATTGTTATACAAGTTTAGTATTACTATTATTATTATTATTATTGCTAAATAATGAGGCAGAATAAACAGACAGTACGATCAAATATGAACCGAATACAAGAAAAAAATGCATCAAAGTACGGCTGTTTCAGGCGTTTGAGCTTTAGCTACCCTTGTACGTAACATAGAAGATTTCGTTCATTAGCGCGTTAATCTCACTTACATTTACTGCCCTGAATAACCATTTTCTTATGTAAAAATTCGTTCAATCGTTAAATTACGCGTTTGGCACTGCACGAGCCATGCACGTTGGCAACAATCAACGGCACTTTTTACCTTTGCTCACTGCCTCACGTTGTGCTAGCTAGCGGGTCTAGTGACTATAATGTTGTCCTCGGCCCCTCTCTGCCCGTTGCCCCCCCCAGAAGTTGACTAGTTCAGATAACAGGGTTTTATGCCGACTTGAAATCGCTGTGTGGCCTCGTGGTGACCATGTACCACTATGGCAGTCGATAATAAGCACTTGAATTACGGGCGTCAAGTGCGCTCTTGCAGATATCAATCCGCTGCGCGGACGAACCAACCCGCAAGAATACCCAAATAGATGATCCTCTAGTGGTGTCGTTTCAAGCCGCCCTAAATTCTGTGGGTATATAGAACGTTACGACGGCCGATATATAATCGACACGTGTACCCGCTTACTATTACGACCTAATCGAGTGATTATTGTGCTTTTTGGCATTGTAATGGCGAACCCGTTTATAACGGATAAAAAAGCGCGCGGCTATTGAAAACAACTACGGTGTTAATAGTGGGGCGTCCATTAAGAAAAATAGAAGTTGTAACACGTATATATATATATATATGAGTTGTATATTTTAGCATAGGCTAACCAGTATGATATTTTAATATGAGTGGCCGTCAAAGTTTCGCCTAAGAACGATACTAAATACATTCAAATCGTGTAACAATGACAGAAGCGGTAGAAGTAAATTTTATGTTTGGCTTGTGAAAACGATTGCTTAGTAAATTTTCTACCAGAACGGGCAGACAATGTTTCACGTATTCTTAGTGCACGGCGTATTCTAACAGTGTTCTTTTGCAACGATTATATTCACCATTACGTCAGCTTCAATTATATTGCAAGTTTTGTTGCACGATTAAATGAAGACAACGTCCTTCTAAGTCACGATATCAGGAATATTGATCTGAACACACAGGTGAATTCCTGGTGCTTGTGTTGTATCCCTAAATCGAACGAAACTGGTTTACCAGTGGCCAATCTTACTGTCTTCAAAGGCCAAAGCCCATATATTCATGTAGTTAACTACTTGGTGTTAATTTTTTTGACCAGATGGTGCGGACACGCGATGACCTGGCGTCAGAGCATCCACTCAGTGGGGAGTGGGCTTCCGGCGAAGCGCAGCCTCCCCTATCACGGTTGTTAGCACAGTTGACATCAGGGCGACCCCCAGCACCGCACAAGGCGGGTTCTGTCAGCTCTATTTCTTCGGATGACACTGCAACGTCATCAGCAAGTAACCTTAGCCCCACTGCGTCAAAAAGAGCTTTACTAACAGGTGAGCTAAAATTCTGTTAGACACATTTGTACGATGCACTCTTTGATTGGTAAGGCTGTTTTAGTGAGTATGAACAAAATCTCATTCGCCGAAACCAACATTGCATTCGGCAGTGACAAAGACACCATTACGTCTATGCCTTATAGTGCGCAGTGTCCATTTCTAATCACGGTTGCATCGTGTCTTTTTACTTTCGTTGTGTTCGTCGTGCGGCTTCGATAACTGACGGTCATATCGATGTACAGAAGAAGATGGCGATTCAAGCTCTAGTTTGCAGGGTAACAGTCACGAAATGTCTGGTCGTCTGTCGTCGCCGCGCAGAGGCGCAACGCAAGGTACCGCGTTACGGCCGACACGGGAACGCGAGCGGGAGCGAGAAAAAGAGAGGGTGCGAGATGACGAAGACAAGACGACCGATGAAGCTGCTGCCGGACGCCGTCGGAAAGCCAACCTTTCATCACGCGAACGAAACCTCCGCCGACTTGAGTCGAACGAACGTGAACGCATGCGGATGCACTCGCTGAACGACGCGTTTCAGGCACTGCGCGAGGTCATTCCTCACGTGGCAATGGAACGAAAACTCAGTAAAATAGAAACCTTGACCTTGGCCAAGAACTACATCATGGCATTGACAAATGTCATCTGCGATATGCGAGGTGACGAGAAACCCTATCAGTTCTGTAAAAAACAGCAAGGTAACGATGATGAAGTGCCGGCACTAAATGTGGTCGGCGTTGCGAGGAATTTAAAGAACACGACCAGCAACAACCAGAACAACAGCAACAGCAACAACAACAGCAACAGCAACAACAACAGCAACAGCAACAACAACAGCAACAGCAACAAAAATAGCAACAGTAATACTATTAACCACCACCATCACACTGGTAGCAATAATCATTCGGCGTCCAATGGTCAGGAACTGGAGATTAAAGGCGAAACTCAGATCGAACATATGAGTAGCGAAGACGTACGGGAAAGTGGTATTGATGACCTAGACCTCGATCACGATGTTGATCGGCTAGATGTAACTGTCAACGGAAGCTTACCAGTTCAAGACTATCCAGGGTACCACGAAAGTTTGAATGATCCAGCTATACTCATGTCTGACTGTGAAGAGCCAGATCGGTTATAAGGCCAACCGAAGTTGACCACCGACAAAATAGGCGTCTTGTTGAAGGCCTAAGAGATGGAGTCTATGGCGAGGAGGAACTCTAGGACGGTAACGATGGTTAGGTATTCAGCGTTGTTGTTACTGTGACGTCTGTGACTGTTTGTCTTGACGTAGAGTGTTTGTGGAGCAGTTGCTAGCCATCTAGATACTGCGGTCTGATGGTTGGGCATTACTCGACTATGGCCTCTCGGCGATAAGACCGAAACACTATTGTTCCGTTTGCCATCCCCCGTTGTTGAGTGCTGCAAATAGCGTGCAATGACGAAACGAGTGCTTCGGCTAACACTGAAGACGGATGCCAATAATCGATCACTGAACTACGTGAGCTATATTACGCCCTATGTGCAATAACGACTAACGGATAAAGCTGAACTGTCAGTGCGTCCGATCAGCGACGCCGGGACTGATCGAATACTGATAACGATGATGGTTTTAATACGCTCTTAGCCATAGAGAAAATTATACAATCAGCGGTTGAACGTAGAAACAGTTTGGACGAGTGACGCTTCGGCGTTAGCGTGCAATAGAGCGATCGCTCAAATACAATCACAAGCACAGATAAGTGAATAATGTATAGATAAGTTACGCACTTTGAAGTAAATGATATCCCGCGAGATTCTACTGGTGAGTAGGCAAAATAAAGAAAAGCAAAACTATCATTTGTCAAGTACGTTTCATCTTATTTGGCGTCTACCGGAAACGAATACTCAATGTTTTGCAAATTTTCTTATCTTATGTTACTATAATGAATTCTAGATAAAAGAAATTTGTCATCGACGATCCAGTACCGAGATAACACCTATCGGCTGGAATAATACTGGACAACTAAGGGCAAAAAAGAAACCGCTATTTGATCTGTTCTAGAGAGATGTCTGGTGCACAGTTAATTAAAATTGGACTCCCCTAAAGTGTATATAATTCTAATCCTTTATGTAGAAAAAGATCTGATGGTTTAGCAAAGGAGTTTTGTCTTGTACGCGTTTGGACTCGATATCTTGATGCTGCTGCTGCTGCTGCTGCTGCCGCCGCCGGTACAATCGACAGGGAGGTCGTTCAGTCATAATTACTACAGAATGATTGATATGATTCCTTATATATTGCTTGTTGACTGTTGTAATAAAATAAAAAATGTGTAAGCATAGAAGATACTGTGACCGAGGAAAAGATGGCTCGATCCGGGTCGTTGTTATTTCGTAACTGAGTTCATTTCAATCATTGCTATAACGTGCAGGTACACCAACCCGTCAATGGGAATCGTGAACAAAGCATGCGTGCAATCAATCAACCCTCGTCGCTAGAAGGAGCGATGTTCCATCTGCTTTAAAGACGTTACTCGCTATAGGCCTTAGGAAGAAACACCGCTTCTCTGCGACTCGCCGAAACTCAATTATAGACGAAACACATTTAATTCTCAACACGTACGTACGTACGTGTGCATGTGTATGTATGTATGTGTGTACAACGTATCAAAGGCAATAAAAACAATACATGACATATATCTACACATTATTAGAAGTACGATATGCTCAACATCACGTTAATATTGGTAAACGCGCGAAGGTGCCGAGTCTGTTTAGTAGGGGGTGGAATGAGTTTTTGTTGCTAGTAGCATTCGTGTACAAACAAGGTCAATACCTAACCAGATAACTAATAGATCATCATCACCACCACCACTACCGTCTATTTTGGCAAGAGCGAGGAACTACTACGATTTAAAAACAGTATTAGTAATCAATTACGTGTAATTGTGAGTTTATATTAATCGAGCTTTTACAGTCCATTTCTACAACAGAATCATACCGTTCCTGGTCACCGTAAATACTGAAAACAAATTTTTCACAGTGCGATAAGCTCACAGATACAGAAAATGTCTATGCGAAAATCAAACGTAGTTAAAAAAAAAAAATGACTGAAAGAAAAAACAGTCCAATAGAGAATAGACGGAACCAGCAACGATTAATGAAGAGCGACTCTAGATGACCGTGCCTAGGCAGTGAAAAGTAGTACTTTCGGCTCTTTTTTTTTTTGTAAGCGGCTAAATCGGCAACAATGAAGGCTGATTAAAGATTGACAATATATCTTGCAAACACGATATTCAGGGAGTTCGGCCATTTAATATAACAGCAAATTTCAGCGCCGCCGCATTTTGTCTGATCAGTACTATCCATAAATTTGGCAAATCGAAATATATCCTGATACAATGGCGATTTCAGTGTTATAGGCTAACTGAAATGAGCGTCAGTAACGTAATAATGAAAAGAGATACTTATGGCAATAATTATAGAAGTGGATGTATCGATAATTTCGTTTTAAAGGAAAAATTTTAAAAAAAAAGAATGAAAAGCAGTGAATTAATAGATGAGATTGATCAAAATGAGATTGTACTGGCCGGCGAAATGGACCTATATAAAACGTATGATGACTATTAATTCAATCAATCTATTCCTTGTTAAATGAAGGACAAAGATACGAAAAGTATCCATCCCATATAAATCTTATTGTGTTTTTATTTATTCCCCTAAATTAAATCTAACTAATTCGTAATATAAAGATCATTAAGTTAATATGTATCAATTAATATCTAACTTTAGATCGTTACGACGGCTATTTTGAGTAAAAATTCTGATCAAGTCTATCCAGAGACATCTTCGAATAAATTTCCAATTTAGGAAAATCTAAGATGATCATTGCTTACTGAGAAAGATCTGTAGCTAGCCCGAAAACAGATGAAGGTATGATCACACTTTCAATGCTAACTATTGCTATACTCGAACGGAAGCAATGATGACATCGCTACGTTGCTTTAACATCAATAACGGAAATTTTATTGGTAGATTTCGCTTTCTCTCTCTCTCTCTCTCTCTCTCTATATATATATATATATATATCTCTCTCTCTCGCTCTTCCTCCCTCTTTTTTACTTGTTTCGTTTTTGTTGTCTTTCCTTTCTTGCTTCCCTTACGCTTCTGGCCCGATATGATTTTCATTTTTCTGTATATATATATATATATATATATATATATATATATATATATATATATATAGTGTTTCCTGTTACATATTGTATACACGTTTTACTTCGTCTATGTACTTAGTCAGTTGGCCGTCGGAGGAAGATTGCCCGGCAGCACAACCTTTATAATACATTAACAAAGGCCGCTCACTAAATCACTGATGAAAGGAAAATGTAAAAACGCCTCTCGGAAACCTTTTGATGTATCGAAGGTATGATGACACTCTGCGCCTGCTGCTAATAGTGATGTGCGGTCACCGGGACACTACCCGAGTAGGTTTTCATGCTAAAGTGAATATGAATTATATATATGTTGTTATTAACAGGATTATGAGACACTATAGCTTAGTGTTGCCCGATCACCCAAGGAATTAATTCAACGCCTGAAGTGCTATGCCAAATCGTCTCCTATCGCCGTAAAGGCATTGACGCCCTACATACGATCGTGTTCTGCAACAATTTTCATGAACTCCAAGACCTGGACATGGAATGAAAAGATGATTTTAAAGGTCACTTTAAAAACGTTCTTGGAACTCAGTGAACTAAATCGTACTGGTGGCGCTTTCCCGCAATTAATTTCGAAATTACATATTCTACTTTTTCATCTACCTACTCGAATTCAAAGGGGTCCACGCTACGAATAGCTAAAACAGTTACATAACTCAATAGACTGGTCTTCAAAGATTTACTAGAAAAATAGCAACAGCCTAATGTAATTTTTTGAAACTATGCTGTACATTTTAGATAGACACTGCCTATAACAACAGTGAATGAATTAGTCAGGTTAAGGGGTAGTAGGATCTACGACCATGACAGGCGCTAAGATGAAATCAATTGCGTATTTAGGTTGGTTGTTGTAGAGTTTTAGCGCCGCCTTTCCAGTGGCTTGTTTCGGTCGTCCTACGGCGAACTAGTTTACACCACAAGTTTAACCCCTAAAGGGGGAATCTTGGAGATTTTGCAATCGTAAAGATTGCAAAATATATAGCCGATAGTAGTCATGGCGAAATCACGACTATCGTTCCTGTTCAACTAGCCTACACACAGGACGATGCCAAGTTCGGAGGGTAACCGACATCGCATTTGTCTAGGCTCGCTCTACCCCTCACACATTGTGCTTTAAAGCAAATTAATAAATGGTAATTAAAAATCGTATGTTTGATCGACCTAGCCTGAAGCTAAACGCCATCATTTTCATGATTTTTTGAAGGTGCGTCATCAGCCCCCATTGGCGGCGCGAGCCCCTTCGGTCGTGTGCTATTTGCTGATTGTTTGGATTTGTTTGTAACAAAACATAAAAACCAGGCATAATATCACAGATAGAATCTAATGATTATGTGCGCCTACTGACAACAACAACAGACAATGATGGTTGTCATCGTAGTAGCAGTGATAGCAGTGGAAGATACAAATGAATTAGCTTCCCACTGCTTCTACCCATACTTCTTGTTAACTAATCATCGAGGAATTGTGTTTTCATAATACAATCACTATATTAGTATATGAGGAATATAATTTGTCACAGTAATTATCTTGTGCTATAATATTTTAAGCGTTTTCATAAATAATAACAATAATACATTGACAATCGGTCCTAGCAACAATCGTAATGTTAATTCATTATGGTAACATTAGGCACAAGCTCATGTGAACTGATGCTTGGTAACAATGTGACGTGCCACTTTGTCACCAGACAAGGCAGTAGCCATATCGTACTGCGCGGACAGGCAACGTTCAACTTGAGTTTTGACGGTAACGGAAATATTGTCTTCCTAGCGACTCGGTGTGTTACATTTTGGGGCTGTAGAAACTATTCGGGAAGATCTTTGCCTTCCCGTAATATAGCGTGGGGTTTACATTGTCGATGGGAGCTAAGTGGAACTCGCCAGGGCCAGTTGGAATTTTACAACACACACATCAGCGTGTCAAACGCCCTTCAGACATTAGACGAGCATGAAATAAACGACCATTTTGCTATCTGGCCAGATTTCGATCGATCTGAAAACTGGAAATGAACTGATCTTGATTGTAACCAAAAGCGATCTAATTAGGTTTCCTTCAGTGGTCAGTTGAGGCTGTGAACCTTCGCGAAGATCAGCCTCGGATCAGAGATGATCTGCAGATTTCATTGCAGCCATAAGAAACACGTTCACCATGCTGTATAGAGGGGTATGGACCGACGCAACTGTTGCGCCCCACATCGAAAAATCTCACTATCGTTATCTGTGCTTCTTCTTATAGTTCTATGATTTTATATATATATATATTATCTCTCCATGTGTGTGTATATATATATATCTATATTGATATACGATAGTCCCACAGATAAATAGCCAGCTATATATATAAATATATATGTTGCTGCTGCCACACCGTCTGCGGTTATGTTTCAGTTTGTAATTTTATATATATGTATATATATATATATATATATATATATATTTGTCAATATCTCACTATTGAATGTATTTGCACTATAACATGAACCTTGATTTGATCATGATCTTGTTAATTGTAAATGTCTTTCGGCGGTCGTAAGAAGCACCGCACCGGGCTCGTAACCAAGACTGTATTCCATTCACTGACCATTTAATCGAACGTGTCCGTCACCTCGATTATGTTCATTGAATTGATCTTTTACATTAAAATTACACTTTTACGCCATTTCTAGCGATCCCGTCTCGTGCGATGCTCCTCGACCAGGCGGGCAGACAAACGGGCAGATTTTTACTCGGATAAAATGGTCAGGGAACGAGATAACAGATGGGAGATTCAATGGTATAGTGATATCGTTTAATATCTCACTATTTATCTCACTTTTCGTCTAGGGAGTGTATCCCTCCTCATTGTATTATGATGATTCCAATGTATCTAGCATTTACTCGTGTATATAGTCCTCTTCCGGCAACAAATGTTACTTGCTCATATCCTTCGATAGCTATACGTAGCCCACCCAGATTACAGGTTAAATGATCGGTGAGTTCGTCCATCTGTCGATTAAGTGCTACCGCAAAGCTGTGAACGACTTTTCCCAGTCTGCTCGTATATTAAGCACCTACTACTAAGCAACGTTATTATTCAAACAAGTAATGTCATGTCTATGTTGCCGTTAGCCATAGATATATCATGTATGTGATTATATGTTCCGCTTAAGATCAGGAAACTCGTTACTCTCAGCAACAGGACATCAAGCGAGTCGTTCTGCTAACGCAATAAAGGGTTGCTTGTATATTGCCTTATATGTGTCCTGAATTACTAATACTTGAATACATGAACCTTCCATCCTTCATAGAATCCGCTGTGTGATTGTCGCTTTACCTCCTTCGTTCGGGAATGATTGACTCTCGTTCGTTCGAATTGACTGATCCCACCCTGTGTCAATACGATCGCCATCTGCTATCGACTTCAGCTTGCCTCACCAGCATGTCCCGATCACTGCACTGTCATTATTATAACAATCATAATCGCGATAATATTAATAACAATTTTTGTGTGTGTGTGTGTGTGTGTTCGTAACAATTTCCCTGTGTAAATCCGTCGCTCGCATTGCATCACGATTCATAACCTGATTTTTGTCTCGGACTCGTTATGTATGTATGAGGTTCTCAACTACTACTTGTTGACATAGTGTTTCTTTCATTGAAGAAGAACGGATAGGAACTGGCCGAACGTAGAGGGACACCATTGATGCGCTATTACAGAATAACCCTCCGGTAAAAGGAGCGACCAGCATTTGCCGTGAGAGTTTATTTCCAGTTGAACGCGCGCTGTCTATTGCATTCAGTTGGAGAAACACTATAGAGAAAAGACGCTCTGATTTGATCATCTCGTTTTGCCTCTTCAGTCAACACGTGACTCTTCTGTCGAAATGCGTCTATTGCAAGGTAAAATGATTTGACATTACGAACAGGAAGCGTATAGTTAGCAGGAGTCGGCATTGCTTTCAGACTTTGATTATGTCGTTACCATTGGGACGACTGGCACACACTGACATACGCACTCCCTGACCTCCTCGAGGTACATCCGTCTTATTTCAATGAACGGTTAAACTCCGACGTAAGTTCACTTGAACGACATCCCTCTGAATTCGGCGTTTTTCAAGTTTGAAAAATTCAAAGTTTTCTTAAATTTTTACTCGAAGCTCTAGTGAGTGATATGTGGCGAACTGTGAATATTAACTAGTCGATGGGATGGGATGGGATGGGATGGGAGAGCTGGGATTCGGCAGGAAGAGACGTACTAGGGCACATCGCCACCTTCAGTGTTTCATGGACACGATTCTTCACTGTGTTTGTCAGTTAAAATTGATAGTAACAGATTGAATTCGTGGTCGAAACGAATTTTGTATCAGTCTCCACATCGGGCAGCAGGCTACCTATGATGTACACTTTCTGTATTCAGCAAGATGGTATAACTGTATGTTGTTTGTATAGTTATGAACTTCTTTGCCAGTCCGGCCCAGTCAGCTCTCGTCGCGTCATCTATACCATGACCAATATTCTGGGTACGATTTTACCCACATTAAACGAATAAAATGGTAATTTGTTTTAATTCATAAGCTTACGACATAAGTCATAGTCGGCGTGGTTGATAAATAATCCTTTTAAACGCATTGCTATCATTATTATAGTATGAACCGTTGTGCAGTAATAGACTTCGCATTCCTCACGTTTAACGAAGTGTGTCACCCTGTTTCGTTATAGGTTCCTATTCTGAGATGCCGGCTGGACTCTCCCCTAGTGAGCATTTTACAAGTAACCATCGGCCAGGAGCGTTTCGCTGCTGGCCGATGGTTACGTTATTAGGTTCGCTGCGATTGTCCGATTACTCTTATTCTTATTGTTGTTGTCGTCATCAGTACATGTTGGTGTTGCTAAATCGTTCCTGCATCTCCTTTCACCGCCTGTAACCTTTCGCTTTTCTCGTAGCATTGACCAGTCGACATTATTGAAGTTAGATCCGTCCCCAGTCGCAGCTCACTTCAGCATTCGGGTTTGCCGCTTAGATGTCGCAATCATTTTCGTCATCAACCATCATTACCGCTGTCAGTCGTCATAATTGATCAGTTGTTAGTGTACTTCGTTTCGTCTCTGTTACAGCATTCCCTCGAGCAGAAATAGGAAGCTAGAGGGAAGATTCCAATTGAGCGATTTCTGGCGTTGTTGAGTTTACGTTTGAGGTTGTGCCTCGCAGTCGCCTGGCTGCGCGACGCAACACGGGACAGTTCCGGGTGGCGCGTCGAGCTGATTGTTCATATGTCCCGCCCGTCATTGTCGCTACTTCCGTTGTTGCTATCACCATTGAAGATGATGAAGTTCGCGAAGTTAACCGGTCAACGCTAGCGTCAGCAGCAGCGGAAGCAGTAGCGGCGTACACCGACAATGAGCGTGATGAAAGTTCTGTAGAGATTCTTATTGTCGTACTCATCTTTGCTGTAATAGTATTCGTAGAACTGTTATTTGGTAACTTGATTTTCAGGTAGACACCTGTCTGCGTTGTTTTCTAAAGGTGAGTTGTGCCCTGTTCTGCGGTCGAAGCTCTAGTGTGGGGCAAGGGAACTGCTGTGGCATTACAGTGGCTACTCCTACCCTGTGAAGCAGAAAGATCCGCGGAGGAAGAAATGCAGCTCGACGCCAGTTGGGGATCTCCCCTATCGATTAACTCTGGGTGGAGGTTGAGCGCCGGGTTTACACGACCGTTCATCTCGGTCTGGTACGTTTTGACTCCATGTAGGCCTGTAATGACAGACAGATGAGAAAGACAGATCCAGAACGTGACTCGAAGCTAAAAGCGAAGCGCACACCGACACAAACAAGTCGAGTTGGTTTCACTAGATTTGTACCGAATCCGAAATACGCAACCTTCAGCGATATGCACTCACTTGAGTTGAGCACAGTAAGCTCCTCTTGAGGTTCCTGAACCTTGACGATGTCCTCTGGTATATTGACGACGCAGTTGAACACGTCTAGATGCGGCGGGAGGTGGCCTGCCTCAAACAAGACCTTCGAAAACTTCGAAACGGCGACGAGAGTGCCGAAGCTGCACAGCATTGCCAATGTTCGAAAAGGAAATAGCTGGCCGTCCTCTTCGGAATAGTACGGGTACTTAATTACAGCGGGGAGACCTAGAATAGATTCGCCGCCAAGGCCCCGTAACAGAAGGCCCACAATATAGGCGGCTAAAAACAAAATGAAAAAAAAAAATATTTGAAACCGCAGTACTGGCAAAGGCGGTGCTAGGTATTATGGAACCTTTCCATATACATGTAGATATAATAATTCTACCTAGATATAATATCTAGATATAGAATCAACATAATTCAGCCTTGGTAGCCCTAGCCAGTTATGTATCTATAACTAAAGGACATGTATCCTACCTAGTATGTAGGTGAAAGGAGCATTTCGCGCAAAACAACCTCTCCGTTACTTTAATATCAACAAACTTGAGGTAGGATTATTTGAAAAATCAATAGAAAATCGCAAGAGACCTTATTGGTAAAGCGGTCTCCTACTATAGGGAATACGCCCTTCGCACGAATAAGCTGAATCTTTTTGAAAGACCTTTGCTTCACCTACGTAGATAGGGCACTGTCAATATAAATTTATCATATAAAATTTCTTAAAGGTTTGCAATTATACGTATATCACATATTGTTTCCAACTTTACATCTATTAAAATCACTGTTGCGCGTCTATCTCTCTATCTATCTATCTAACTATCTATGCCCATGCTCACCTAAGGATCCATACGTGTTGACTGTCTTTTTGAGGTAAACAACCGAAACGAGCTGCGGGAACAGAATAACGTAAACCAAGTCCGAAGAGAGGTACCAGAGACCGTAGACGGACTTCACCGTGAGTGCCATCGCAGTGGCCATAATCCCAACTAATAGAATCGAGACTTTCATCACCCAAATTACTTCATTTTCAGAGGCCTGAGCATACAGCGGGCAGATACAGAGCAGATATACAAAATAACAAGCGTTCCAATCATTTTCGAGTCAGGAATCGCCCGATCGAAAATTTTCTGTTATGATTTAATAGATAAATGTATTCCATTCTGACCCACAGTAGATAGATGTTTCGCCGTATCTGCTGTACATGCAATTTTCTTAATAAAAGGTGTTTCAGCGTAAGCATATCCCAAAACAGTAAGGTTAAAATTTAATATGAAAATAATAATAGCAACGACAATAATAATGATAATAATAATAATAATAATAATAATAATAATAATGTAGTTCAATACTGTAATTTAGATGATATATTAGATATAATATTGCAGCTTTTTAGGATGTGATCTGTAATACTTCGGAGACTGATGACTGATAGCTGACAGAAGTATACTGATTTCTTTAATGCTTTTACAATAGTAATGTTAATTACCACCAGCTACTTCTACTGTCCACCCAGTAACATATCTGTACTTACGTTTTGTCTAAAGATGAGTTTATAGACATTTCGAGCAAACATGGACGCGGCAGAAAGTATAGAGGAGTCAGAGGACGACATGACGGCGGCCGAAACGGCGCCCAGACCCAAGCAGGACACGAAACCCGGCGTGAGGTACTGCAGCACCAGCGGAAGGACAAGAGCCGACTCTGACTCTTTGAGCGGCCTTTCGAGCGCGGTCTCATTCCAATGAGTCGCTTTTGCGACTGCCCCCATAATCATCGCGGGTATGGCCATGACAATGCAGCCCACCGCTGCCACGTAGCTTAGGACCTGCGCTTTGAATGCGCTCCTGCAGGAAAGCACCCGCTGGAAGTATACCTGCCATGGGATGCCGCCCAGCATGAGCAACAGGCCGCAGTCAATCCACTGGCCAAAGTATTTGCTGTCGACCGTACCAACCCAATCGTTGACAGGGAAGGTCAGTGGACCTACAGCCTCATTACGTATACAGAATGGGATGCAAACCCACTGGAATGGAAGACGGCGAGAAAGGCAGAACAGAGGGAACCAAAGGTAAATACACATCTTCCAAATGATCTAAGTTAAAGCCTACATTGAGACAGTTACCACTAAAATTTATCAGCTTAATTTTTTTCTAGTCTCAATGAAAGCCAAAAGGAATAGACTGCGTTTGATGAAGGGTATGGTGTTCGAAGTATTTAACGGCTGCTTCTACGCGGGAACATGTTGGCTAACAAATTCGCTTCACCCTTTGATAAAGAACTCACCCAGTATAAAAATAGCGCCGCGTGATTTTAAATGCTTCTATCTCATAGTCGAAACTACTACAAAATATATTTTTGCAGAAATATGAAATTGAATTCATGAACCTGTTACAAACAGCTTACTATGTGTGTTGTTTCTCGTCGTCCTAAATCTCGCTGCCTATGCCTCGCCTAACAATGTAAAGAGATGTTTTTCTTGAAACATTAACGCCAGTGAGTCTAGCAGGCACAACTAGATAACTGCAGTACCAAAACTGTCAATGGTCAATCACGTTCCGTTCGTCAAAACCCAATCCGTAAAAAATATCGACATTAAAAGTTGGCTAGGAAGCTTATAGCTGCACACATTCCCATATACACCCACCTGTCCATGTAAAATCTCTTATGACTAGATCTCCTACGGCAAAAACTTGTACGGCGCTACAATCGTCGAAAATAACGGTGGCTATAGGCGCTTCTATGTTGTCTTGTTAGTTAAACACGGCTCTCAGATAAGTACAGCATCGTATTTTTAGTATTTTTTTTATTTTATATATATATATATTTATATAATAAATATTAATTTAATAACACATTTATAATAATAGTGTGTGTACTAGACACGTAAGAATACAGCGTTGTGTGCGATGATCCACTACGTGCAAATGCTGCTCACATGATGCTTGGGCATCAACGAAAAACGACAAAAAAACAGCTGAAGAACCACGAAAAGATATCAAATTGGGCTAATAGGAAATTTTGTCACTATTGTCAATGAAGAAAATCACAGTCAAAATCAAAATGGTCAGACGGGATTTGAGGACTTCCCAGCTTCGGTTGAAAGTGTTGTAACGACGAGGAAAGGACCTTGCTTTCGCCGGTCCCGCACATAGGTTCAATCGTTATCAAAACTAATGACTAGTTACAACCAACGTTGAGTCAGTATTAATTCGGAACGCTTTATCAGAATACAAATGTTCTAGTACAAACAAAAAAAAAGCAAGAAAGTTGCTTTCATTTGAATGGATGCTTCTAAGTAAAAATACAAATGGCGTTCGAACGAGGAAAAAACTGAAAACCAACTTTCTTTCTCAATACAAGTTTGGGGTCACGTATGTATCGTTGGCAGAACTTAGAGCGATAATTCCTCTAGTTTCTTCTTTCCAACGAAAGGCTGTAAAAGCTACCGCGTCAGCAATAAATCGTCATACAATTATTTAAGACGCATATCAAAACCAGCACTAGAAAAACACAATACTTCGCCGTCGAATTTATATGCAGTCCTTCAAAGTAGTGGACGAACTTCATCCTTCAGAGATAGAGGATGTTAACTTACAGCAAAAACTTGAAAATGTACGGTTTACTACGGTTCCTAATTATAGATGCCGAAGCTGTTCGATTTAAATACGATATATCGATGAAGCTAACTTTTCACAAGAAAAAAAAAATACAGGCGTAAAACTGAATGTATGTAGTTTTTTTGCGTTTTACATCTCTGAATACGAGGAACTTATAAAGATAGCTTGAGCAGACGACGGTGCGCCACGTGGCTTAGAACTTACCAGTCCGAGGAAGATACAGAACAACTGGATGACATCCGTGTACGCAACAGAATAGAGTCCTCCGAAAAGGGTGTAAATTAAAGCGATACACGCGGACGAGATAATCGAGGTGTTGTTATCGAGATCCATGATGACGCCCACCGTCGCGCCTGTAAGCGTCACCATCGAAACGTTCATCTATAAACTACATCACTGCTTATTAAATTATGCAATATGCTTGCTTAAATTTGTTATCTTTATTTGTTATCAGCTTCGTTCATATAGGGTTTCAAATGTAGGGATTTCGCTCATACAAATACTGGAAAGCTTCAGCGGGACAATTTTCGAGTTTACGAATCGGCTTAGTACCCGTTGCAAGCTGCCGATCGATCGTAATACAATGATAATTATAACAGTGATAACTGTAACAGCAGTGTTGCCACCGCGGAGATAGCCGTGACGATATGATACCTTTCGATGATTGACGCTAGAAAATAATAAGCCTTGCTCTATTCTGTGTCGATTCGCACGCACCCATGGCGTTCAGCTTAAATTTATATATTGAGTTTTCGAAATAATATTAACCCTTTTTCTAGTTAGATAACTAGGCCATAAAGTTATGTACTAGTATGAGTCACAAATATCGGAATGGCGTTGGTCTCAATTAAAAGTTGACCTTTGACAGCAGTAAATTTGCTGCAATTTTGTTACGATAAAAATACAAAAACGCTACCCAAAACCAATCAATTACGTCCTGGAAATTTTGGCAATACTCTTCATAGTCATCGATCAACTATGAAATCACTGCGGAAGATCGATATGTGAGTAGACTCCAAGGGTCTAAATAACCACTACTGAACCGTTTTAAACCACTCGACGAAAGCTGGCTATGAAAAAGCCTTGATTTTTTTTTTTACTAGAGTTAAGATGATTTGACGCGAGATAATCTATATAATCTGCGAAATTTTGCAGAGGCAACGAAACTGAACCAGTTCTAAAGTGGAGGATAACAGCGGTAGAAGACTAAAACAGAACAATACAATAATGTGCAAGCAGATAAAAAAAAAAAAGGAAAAAGTGCTCTCCAATTTGTGGCAAGACCTGAACTGTCGCCAAGGAAGGTGACGCTGTGCGTTAGCTGGTCTTGGAAAGGATTGGTGCATTGTACCTTTTCGAAAACTTGATCCATCGTTTCAGCTGGCATACTAATGGATGGTAAACTGAATCACTAATCAATCCATCGTATCGAGAGGGAGCTGTCACAAAAACACGACTCGAACATTAGATTTAGAGGCGAGTTTAGAACGGACCGTTTTATGTATTTGAGGATAGTATACACTTCGATGGTAATTACTAAAATAGATCGACTAACTCGGACCAGGTTAAATAAGTCGGATACATTTAAAATTATTGCGCTCTTCATTTGGCGAATTCAAAGCTGCTCGGGACTGATGACTGGTGACTAGTGGCTAGACCCGTAGTACGTACTATACAGAGCTGTTGTTTGGCATAATTTTCAATATCCAGTTTACAAACGCTCCTTACATTCTAAGCAGCTGACTGTCATGCCATGCCAAAGCTAAAAATCGATCGGAACCATAGAACTTAAAAGCATCAATAAAATATCAGTATCAGATATCGTGCTATTTTCTGCGAAAATACCTATCGACTACGAATACTACCTATTACGGTAGCAACATTCATCATCGATTTGACATTCACAAAGGCTTTTCGTGCAGACGTTTCTATTAAGCGGTAGGAGTGAGTTCGGGGCCTTTTATGGTCCTGTTCCATGAAAGCAATCACAGTACGGTACCGTGTGAAGCAGGTTGAAAGCCCAGGAATACTGAGCTGACCGCCAGCTGCACAATATTTCGTTTTGGATGCTGGCTGGGCAAGCGAGGTCAGCCCCTTACTCGAAGTGAAGCGAAATGAGAAGAATAAAGCAGACCCAGGCTGAAAAGCACGATTTTTACATCCGGTGTAGCCGTTAGGCATTTTATCAGACGGCTAGGACTCCCAGCACGAAACAAAGCATGTCTATGCTCGATTTGCTCTTCTAATCAGTGACAGACCTGCGGCATACCAAATCAATATACCCATTTGTAAATATAGTCAGTCGAAGAGACGGAACAGTCAAACTCATGTCCAGAGGCCTCTAAACGTTGTCGCTAAAAATTGCCGAAAAGAACAAAACTTAATTATCGATGAGAATTACTTAAATCATATATACTGCAGCAATCTTATATATGTAGGTAATTAATCAGGTTTAAGTAAAAGTGAAACAGCTTTAATAAGTGATCCTTACATTGACTGAATTGATGTAAATGTTCTATTTAATTGATCTAATGTCGTTTACAGTTAGCTGGAAGTCAACCCGAATATTTTATTATTTAAAGTTTAGAGTTAAAGAACGCTTTTATTCGATCTAAACCTTAAACGAATGCAAAAAAAGGTATCAATTTTAAGTAGATTTTTCTTCGATTCGGTATTATAGCTTTAGGCCCACCCGATAAATGTAGGTCGTTAATCCTGTATTGGCCTTTTCGCGGATTCTCTCGTGTACCTGGACGGCGACCTGTGCAGGGGACGTACAATGATTACGGGAACAGAAAAGAATTAGCTCACACAGAAATAAACGCCCACCCATTTTCTTTTACGTCTCAAGCCTTAGATCCGATATAGTGGCTATCGAAAGTGGCTAATAATTTACCTTAACGTAACGGATATTTTACAATTCCAAAGCAGTAAGCGTCGCGACGGTCAATCGTATGTAGAATAGGGAAGACGAGTTGCAGCTACATATAGTGGCTTTGTTTATAAGAAATAGCTCATACCAGATTGCTTAGCTTACGCCATGAAACATCAATATGCTTTGGTTCAATAGATTACCTGTCTCGCTATAAATTGGCTATAGGCATAAAAACACACGGTTCGTTTCGTTCTGGGATCTAACTATCTAATGGAAGGCCTGACAGCAATGGCGGACGTAATACTCCAAATATAGAAACTGAATAGGAACGAATAAGCCACAACTTTCCTCATCTGAGCAAATTCTCCTCACCTAGTGTTTTCGCTGTTACATTTTGAATATAATGAGCGAAGTACTTGGTAGCTCAGGAGTCAATCACGAAGTAACTGTATAATAGGCACAGCCTATTTCTCTCCTTGGCCTCAGTACGCAAAGGCTTAAAAAATCTTGCCGTCTATCAATAGAAATGATTATTCAAATCATCCACAGCCTTAGACGCCTTAGCTTCCCTCTCATCATAAGAAACTTATATATATATATATATATATATCTAAAAAGAAAAAAATAGAATATATATGTTCTTTTGATAGGAACTAATTTTTTCATTTCACCAGCATTAATTATATTAGTTTGAATCGATCTGCTGTTAACTAACAACAGTAACAGTGAATCTCAGTCATTCTACAAGGGCCTATCGTTTGTGTGCATTAGAGATCAATCCTGCGAGGCTCTGCACCCATGGGAGACACCAGTTCATAACACCACTATCATAAACTAAGAGAAAAGCTTGCTTGAAAGTAGAGATACAAATAAAAACAACGTGTTCTGGTTTCAAACAGACGAATCGAACAAAGTAAGACAGGCGTTAGGATATACTGGTCAGACATCGACAGTTCTCCTGGGAGCGGCGGTACAAGATAAGTATAACAATAACAACAACCAACTGAGCGATATTTGTGGGCGGCCAATAGAGACGGACGCCGTTGGTGAGTCATTTTGTATTATGGGAAGAATGAAGGAGCGGCAAAATCGAAAAAATCTTTACCATTCAATATGAATACCACAAGCCGACTGAGAAAGCTTAGTATGTCTACGACAAGTGAGGCCCAACACAACACGGTACGAAGGAAGGCGCAGCAAAGAAGGTGGTCGATAGAAAAACATAGATATCCTGTTGTGTCGTACAAAGAAAGGTAATTTCTATTACCATTACCGCCACTGAGCAGTGTGCTAGTGTTAAATGGGTCAGAAAGAATGTCGTGTCATAAGCCTGTTTTTAAGCCGGTTATTTACCTACCAGAACTGAGATGACAATGCTATGGGACCCAAGTTGTATAGGGTGGACTTGGAAGAGGCTAAAAAGGTACATGACAAGAGACCTGAATCACATAAAACAGTAAAGGGTCACTGCACACAGAAAACAGAAAGTGGCTAAGGATAGAAAAAGCTTCCTCATTCCCCAATTTCATCATTTATGTACAATGCTTAATATAAGAGAACATACTGTTTGTCTATAGGATGAGTTATAACACGACGTATTTGTGCTAAAGTGTCTGCAACTTTAGTCAGAGCTCTCCAGGATCATTCGTCATCATATCATTATCATAGGAAAAAAAAGTTGAAAGTGATTAATCGAGTGCTGAAAGACACGAAGATTTAGATGTCTTCGACGTCTGACACGATTTTTTTCTTACTCAATTTGAGTTGTGAGCCTTAGCAATTATCCTTTAAAAGAATATATATAAATGTATATTACCATTAATATTATTATTAATAGTAGTCAAACAAAGCTTTGGGGGTTGTATACAGGCATCTGCTAGAAGAAATGTTTATTTTCGTCATTTATTTTATAAATTATACGGTCCCGAACAGTTTTTTTAGGCTACAAATGTTATTGCATCATTAAGTATAGCACGCAACCGAGACAGCCCCCAGCATGAAACGCAATTGCGTTACGTACCGGGAGCTGTCTCAGTACGTAACTTGTTCATGGGCAAAAGTTTTTCATTTCCATGAACCGTATTTACGAATTCTTATAAGAAACTTCACACTCCTTTAGTTGCTCGTTCTTGAGTAAAAACATTTACTGTAAATAAATTCCCTCCAGCGGGTTCTAGCAATAGACGAGTCAGCAATGTTATTAACAGTATCTCTCTCTCTTTACTCTACCAGGGATGTTTATAGATGTGTTGAAGTTATAAAAACTAAGTTGAGTAGTTGGCTCTTAACGGGGCGTGCCCATTCTACAATCAAGGTCAAAATAAAGAGCGGTACCGTCTATTTGACCAGATCTACACAGCCTTTGCGACAATCGACGCTAAGCGCCGTTCATAATAATCATATTCTGAATAATACCTGATACATAGAGATAATGAATTTACGGATCGATAAAAAAAACACAGCACCGTCATTGCATTGCGTTGAAAGCGTCCATAAAGGATAAAAAAATACATGATTGTTGCAATACCCCACAGGATGGTGTCTATGTAAAAATCGGTGCTTCTAAACTAAATGAGCGGATATTTAGCGGAGGCATGGCTGTTATATTATTTCAAAGCATCTCTATGCTATGACATTACTTTTTACGTTTAATTATGTTTTTCTAATATAGGGTTAGTTTGTCTGGAAAACAGTTTTCCCATGAGAAGGATGCCCGTCTTTGTTCTCTGCTTTATCGATAAAAAGCAAAAACGACCTATTGGTATAGAGTAGGATCGCGGGAAGGCCGATCGTCTATTGTATCATAAGCAAGACGTGCTCACCACTAATATTCTCTGAAGCATGGTCATTCTTGTAAGTACTTTGTTCTTTTGCAGTTATTTTCTATTTACGTGTTCCAGGAATTGTCTCGTTGCGTTGGATTGAATTGGCTAATTTTTAATAGTCGTAGTTAGACAGCAGCTTCGAGCAAGTCCATGGTATATAGGCCAGCTCAGATCACCGCAACGGCTTTGTGCAGTGATACCTATTCGAACGCAGACGACGATACCGAGTGGGGCAAGCGGAAAACTAAATAAGATCTGTCTGAACAGATAGCAGTGAAGCAAATCATATCATAGCAAGATGTTGTAGGTCCGCGATAATATCATAAGTGCTCAAATCGGAAACGTTCTAGGAACGTTTACGCGTAGACAACAGCCACAATCTGTGGCGAGCTTCAGCTCATATTGAGTGAATGTAGGTTACTATGCTAAGTGTCAACAATGAATTGTAAACTTAGTGTGTCGTTGTTTGCCTCATATATAACAAAGCCAGTAGATTGAAAGGTATGAAATAATCTATGATACAAATCATATGTACAGCCTGGCTACCCGCTAAAATTAGCGGATGGATCTTGTTGTAGAGCAGTGATATACAACAAAACGGAAATGAAATAGATAAATCGAATACATCGAGGCATCAAGTACGGTTAGTTACGAATGATTTAAAACGACCTTGTCGGACTTACCAAGTGCCGCAAGGATAGCTGCAGACCAGAAGACCTCCCCGCACAGGGCTGGTATAAAAAGCAGACCGCCCATACGACCTCCAAAAAGTTCCTGGAATGGATCCAACATCGTGACGTAGCCTTCCGCACGCATTTTATTTGCGAAGAAGTACCCACCTGATGAATGAAGAAAAACACCCCAGTCAGACCGTAGCTTGATTGAATCAACTACAAAAGTGCAAGTTAACTTGATGTATTCGCTACGCCAGTTCAAGCAGATCCTATTAACGCTCGGTCAAAGCTTCAACCTTGTTAGTTTCTGAGAAGACAAACTCTGTTCAAAATGTTAGGGTAACTAACACCGGATGTACAGTTTAGCCTCGATCCAAACCTCAATGAAACAATTAGACGCACAAATGACAGCTCACATCCTGAAGAGCAAAGCACGTATATCTGTACTATACGGGTAGTGTTACACTCTTTGAAGTTGGCCCTTATTTCCATTAATTTGGCGTCAGCTGTCTGCAGCACCAGCCCTAATAGGAACACAGACGGAATATCACCTCAGTAACCTTTTTGTAATCTAAATTCTTATCAAGTTACTAGGTTGTTCCTGTTAAATTATGTCAACAATCATCCGAATAACGCTGCAACTCATATATTTCTCTGTAACTATTAAATATGATCGCGTGTGTTTCAAACGCATTAAACCTAGCCGTTAGCAAAACTCTAATTAGTTAGTTATGCGTTTGATACGTAAGTGACTATTATATGTACCAGTGAAAATATACAGTGCTCTTTCAACATCCACTGTCGAAGATAACACCTTGTCTTGAAAAACGGTTAGAAGAGTCAAAAAAAGTATTTCAACAATGATATAGGGAGCGCTCCCACGAATAGCTCGCACGACTGCAATTTTTCGAAACATTTATTGGAAAGCCTTCCTTCACGAGGAGCATTAAATTAATGATTAATTTAATTGAATCCTAAAAAATGGCTTTAGTTACCTACGATATACTGGCGACGGCACTAACGTTGAACTTAGTCAGTCAAGCCGATCTTTAAGCCAAATAGTATATGCAGGATTTTTTTTTGCATATTTTTCAAGAAAAGGTTCATATACTGAATGATTTCGTGTGGCAGTCTGCCACATAAGATCATCCAGTATACTTCAGCAGCAATGATAACATTACCATATTCGACGTTTCGAGTAAATGTTATTCTGTTATTTGGGTGCAACTAATGAACAATGTATAATAATTCTCAAAGCGCCCCCTAGTGTAATTCAAGAGAATTAAAAGGGTTATATCGTTTAGCCGAAAGTCATTCTGAGAGGTAAAGTCAATGTTGTTGCTTTAGAGGTTGCCAGTATGTTTTGAGCAAGTAGAAAGTATTTCGTTTTGCTGTCAGATTACCGTTCTGGGGAACTCAAAGTTACTTTGCCTATGTAGTTGGTCCTTGACAAGTTATGTATTTAAGTGTCTAGTGACAGCATCTCCCAAAGATTCTCAAAGTTTCGGAGCTGTTCAGGTCTGACCTCACCACATTTAGGCTGCCAGTTTGATCATGGTAGGACTACGATTTTGCTACCTATGCAAGACAGACATGAACTAATCAGGGTTGAACACCAGGCGTAGACATGATATTTCTTGCCAGCCGTCTGAGCTATGCTAGCACTGGACGTTATTCGATCGGGCACCGTGAGCGAATATGGACAATTCAGTTGTACTTAGCGAAGATAGAGGAGCGGGACCTTGCGAGCAATAAGATGGCCATCTGCTCGTCATCGATACAGTCATCCTGTATTTCTCTTTAAGACATATTAGTCAGCTGTTCTCTTTGCCTAATTAATAATCGATACTACCGTTTTGCCTTAATAGTAAACAAAAAGAAAACGGGGCCACTTTTTTCTGCTAGACTGATTGTGAACTAACCAAATACAAGAGAAAGCGCGTATCCAAGGGGGGCCTGAGTCCATAAAATGCCGTCCTTGAAAACGGACTCGGCCGTTCCGTTGATGTAACCGCCGCCTACCCATGTTGCCGTCATTGTAAAAATTCCGACGAATAAACCTGAAATGGCAACCCACAAAGCCCACAATCAGAAAATTAGCGTCGCTAGTGTTGTTGGTCTTTCAGTATGTGTCTTTAGAGCTCACTTACTCGATACACATTGAGATTAAGCCCCATTATACTATCTTTGCCACACAAAAATATCACCGTAATATGCTCTTTTCCCTTTTTTAGTAATTCGCTATGTTATTATATAGTATTCCTATTTATAAGTATTTCTATAGCGAATTTTGTTCTGCAGTTACGCCTAACGAACGATGAACTAACGACTATGAACTGATAACTAATTTTTACTATAATAATGAAAAACAGCTAAATTATATAAGCATAGGTGTATGCGATTGTAGATTCGAACATTTTTAATATGAATTATGTTTTTTTTTGAGCTTTATACTTGAAAGAACTTTTTCTATGACTATACTGTGTAACTTTCCTCAACTCGACACGTGTCGTAATATCGACAAACACGGACTTAGCCAAAACGAGCTGAATTACAAGCAAGCCTATAAAAAAAACATATGTTCATGTGTGTGTTCTTATATATGCAAGTTTCGGCTCGCACATATATTTTGACAATATACGTGACTCAGAGACCGATATAAAACGACGTTATGCCTAGGAAACGTCTGCCACAATGCCTTCCATTATGCATGTTCACGTAGAAAATATACATCTATTTCAAAGGAAGAAATTTCACTCATTACGTAAAATGTTTGCCATCTGCATTATTAAATTACGTGTTCGCGCACCCCTATACGTGTATATGCGTAGAGGCACATGTATGAATACACGTCGATAAAAAAATAAGCGGTTTCTGCTTGATGTTAACGCAAAAATGTCTTATTCGCCACTGTGCAATGGAGTCGATCCTAGCAGAGCGGAACTTCGAATTTTTAGTTATAAATTCAAATTTTAGTTTATACAAGAATAATACAAACGCACGGACCTCGTTGGTAGAGTATGGCTGGCTGAATGACCCGAACTGATACTGGAGACAGGGTAACATTTTTTCGAAACATTACCCGTGGGGTTTATTGAACGTGTCCAAAATGCGACCTAATTTAAAGCTCAACTTTAGATTTAAGTAAATTTCACATATTTGCGCGACGTGCCTTCAAACGGATTCAATATAGGTGACATTCTTTGTAACAATATTATAATATTATCGATTCATACCTATCCGAGACGTTTCGAACAGGAGGAAATGATATTCTTTAGGTGATGACTCCCTACCTATATTCTATTCACAAGCTAAGAACACTTCTCATTTCACCTACTTAAGGCGTGCCTGATTCGTTGAGAGATAGTAACGGAGAAAAACGATTTACTGCAATGGACGATATTTGGGCTGATAATCTCGATGGCCACCCAGTTGCTTAATTATGTCGTCGCAATAATCAATGTCAATAGATTACGTAGGCCCAAGCATAGCCTCAGTTTTCTAATACCTTGATCGAGACAGGCTGGGAAGGCGAAGGGACTAAAGGACCTCATTTAGCCTTCTACCAGCAAATTCACCGTGGCACATATAATATACTAATATCACACTTTCGTAGCAATTTTTGGCTGCTTTCACGGTTGCAGTATAAGAAAAATCAATGAGCACATAGTTATGCTGCCCCCTTGACTACGACAATACTCTTCACGATGTCTTTTGTTTTTTTGTTTTTTTTTTTTTGATTCGTTGTGATTCGTACGCCACGTGAAAGGCCATTGTCATTCTAATAATTTTACATAATTTGTCATATTATACACATGACTTTGAATGTGTCTATAAAATGACGTGTGACTTCAGTTGCCTCAAAAACAAAACAGGCTTAGAAGGCGAACGAAAGAGAGTCAACTTCAAATATATATCCAGTGAAAATTCAAAAAATACAAAGTGATTCCTTGGTAACTTTTCGAAGAGTCGAAAGCTCATTGATCGAACGATTTCGCCTGCCTGTTTCGTTGTGCACTCAGCTCGATGTAGATAATTTTTCACTCTTAGCAATCTGTATAGTTGGTTCAAACAGAAGCCGTATCTACGCGTAACGATGATGAAACCAATTTGTAAGGTTCCTTGCTTAAAACGAAAACAACTTTGATAAGTAGCCGAAATGGCTACTTTTAACAATAGTAGTAGTCCTAAAGGATAGAACAGCTTATAATAACGAATAGTGTGGTACTTTTCTAAATGAAGTACCACACATTCCATATGACCGTTATTATAGGCAAATGCCACAAGTAATTTATAGGTTTTACATCTCTTTTAAGAAATACAACTACCCATTTGAAAACTGAGTTATTATTGAATTTTTCTCACCAAGGGCACCATCAGCCGCTTCAACTGTAGCTCTAGTCAGCCGTTAGTCTTATGAAGCGGCGTTCGGGCGTTACGATTAATCTCACGTGTGCATCGAATGAACACAGTTCCGCATCGACGCTGTACATGGGTACATTCTAGTGGGCACTTAATATTAGTAGCGCAACAGTCGCTATATTTAGAAGGACGAGTTCGGTTGCAGAAACGTGCTGGTGGGGGCGGGGTAGAGAATGTGGCGGAAGAGGAGGAGGGAGGGTTTATTATGATGTAGCAACTTTCGTGTACCCCCACTTACAACCTGTGGTTCGGGCCTATTATAGCCAGATCGTTTAACGAGAGGATACTCTGCGCGAAAAGAATAATCTAGACCTACTAGAATTCTCGTAACTCTGTGAATCGGTGGCGCCGAATAGGCAGCGTTGCAAACCAACTATTGCCAAAACCCTGACCTTGTATCCATTCATATGGCTCTTATCTCACCATATTTGAAATCAACTAATTGTAACTCGCAAAGCATTTATGGGAACTGCAACATGACCATCAACATATGTACGTCTCAAATGGAGCCTAGGCTTGAAATGCAAATATCGTGCGTATATAACACTTGATACACACCTATGTTTCTCCCGGCGAGCATCACTTCGTCGGCCTCGCCTTCCTCGCCGGTCCGTTTGCCGCTCTTTCGGCCCGCCCAAATGCCAACCGCAAGGATCAGGATATAGAACAGCACCACCGAAATGATGCCAGCGAAGTTCACCGTCATGGTTCAGTCTTCGTGTGCTGCTGCAGTCTCACACTGTGTCTTCTTCTGTTAATCGTATTCGTATTCTAGCTATTCCGTCCTCCGTCTGCCGTTCTACGCTCGTAAAACTTTTCAATCCAAGAGCTTTTTCTGTCTGTGGTAATTTTAGGGCAAAATTGTGCCAGAAGCGATTTCAGTTACAGCAAATGCAAGCTCCCACTTCTCACCTAGCATGTCGTCTTAGGTAGGGTCAATAGAGATATACTCTTCTTTTGTTGTAGATTCTACCAGTCGTATCCCGAACAATATCGTTTGAAGATTCCAAGCTGCAATTGAAACCGGTCTACTCACTCAGCGTGTTGCTACGCAAGTGAACGGATTCTACCTATTTTGTTCGTTTGCTCCGTTCACGTATGGTTGGCCTGTTGGCATGAGGACACGATTCACAAGTGGACTGTGACGGCCTTCTATTTTTATCAGATTTCAGAGAAGGACAGCGTCGAACGAAATACTGAACAGTAGAGAGAAGTGTAATAGCGGTGCATTTGCTATTAGGTAGTCCGATACGAGCGAAGGGAATGCGGAGAGAAGACTATAGCGGTCGAGATCGTTGTTCTTCCGTTTTGCCTAATAAAATGCTAAAGAGATGCCTGTCTACTGGACTATGAATTGTTTTATAACGCGCTTTTATTTCTTCTGTTTCGTGCTACGGTTACAGTATTATTGTCGCTTTTAGGGAATCGTCATTTGTATGTTTATATAGGTATATGTGTGTGTGGGCATAGTATGGAGACTTGCAGATCGGCACCCTCAAGAGTAGGTCACCCGAGTCGAGCTCGCTCAACGCTCAGCCGTATACATCCACGTTGAATTTAACCAAGCCTGAAAGCCAACAAGTAGAGTTGACAACATACTTATTGAAATTAACATTTTTTTTTCCTCTCAATCCTCGTCCGTATTAAAGCTGACCTAATTCACATAGAGAGACAATGATGTTTACATGATTATTCTAGATTCATAGGGATATTTAAGTAAAGGAGCATTAACACTTAATTATGATGTTTTCTTTCTCGTTTGCTATTTTTGAAAAGCAAAAAAACAATGTTTTTCCTTTTCTCTCATTTCTAGTAATAACTGCAAAAAGTTGCTAAACCTATGAATATCGACAGGCAATTCCAGGGTAAGGGATATATTGCTGTACGTTCGTGTGTTATTTAGTGCTATGTTGTTACATACTCCAAACTAAAAACGCATTTCGAAATTGTGCTAGGGCAAAACAAGGTAATCTGCTAGTGGGTACTGCCGATTAGTAATTTACACGGCCGGGTGATTAGTGGCAAACCAAGAAATTCAATGAATAAACCCCCAGCTATAATAAGCACACCCAAATGATGGGCCTGTACTGCCTACTGGTATACAGAAATAAGGTTGTTCATTCTAATAGAGTGTTCCATAGATGCTCGTAACTAGGGCACCGAAGCACTTGTTGCACCTCACTAGATTAACGAGCTTTATATTGTTTGGCCGCTTTAGTAAAAAAGAGCATTCAATAATTATGCCTAACTTTCTCGTTACTGCCTTCGTAGATTTCTATGAAACCACACGTCCACACGGTAACCTTTTAGACCGATATGTCTATTAAGAGCATTTCTAAGTTACCACAGGCAGATTTACTTGAAACCGTAGTGACCGCTGATGAAAATATATAATGTCTACATTACGGCAGCACGATTACCGTGGTGTTTTTCATATAAAATCAGGTTGATAGTATAAACTGGCCTTTTTTTTTCGAGAAAGCACCAGCCAACGTGGCACATTATGCATGCAGTAAGACTTGCACATTTGCCTGTCTATCCAAGTTATTTTCCGAAGCACATGTCTGTAATTTTGGCGGATCGTTTCTTCTTTCCGTCATCTTTTCGCGTTGAGTAGAGGGGTGCTGGCAGAAAAAAGCTTAGCTTTAGGCTAACAAATAAGGGCAACGGAGGACACGTTTTTCGAACAAAACCAGCTATGAAGCTGATACACGATAAAATATCGGGTGGCTGGAAATTAGGCGTGATAGCAGTTATGTTTTTGTCCACCATAATTGCCGGACCGGTCTTGAACACCAGCACCTCTTCATCAAAGCCAAAACAGATGGCTTGCGCTCGGAATATTGGCCAACATCAGCTACTGCTCAACGTTTCCATATCGGACGAAGCCCCACCGAGATTTTACTTCGGATTTATCTCGACGGCCTTCATTGCAAAGAATTCAAGAAAGGTTTTCACAACGGAACGAGATAAATCCATAATAGATATTTGATAGAAAAAGCTCTAAAGTTCATCAACGTAAAGCGAAAAGCCTAAAAATCCCGAAATCTTTATGCAAAACTACGGCTACATTCGAGCAAAATATATCTATCATCCGTGATAATCCGTGAATTTTAACAATTAATATCTAAAAAAAAGCGTAAAGGGCCTCTTTAGACCCTTAAAGCCTTTCGGCCGCTCCGGATTTTTCATGTTCAAACGATATGTTAACAAGTCTTAATGTTCTTTTGCTTACAGTTATTATTAAAAGTATTCACAAGTTTAAAAATTAATTCTGAAAAATAATTTCTAAGCTGTTTACATTCCGATTTACAGGGAGCAGCGGTTGTATTGTATAAAGACGTCCATGAAAGATGTCTTCGTTGGTACATGTCAAAAGCTTTGTTTAAACATCTGTTTAGATAAAGTTTGTCATACAAATGCGAACAAGCTATATCATTAATGCTCTAATTCGTCCCTGTATATGAAGGTAATGCAGAGGGGTTTTTGCTATGAGAGCTGCGCTGACCTTCTCTTTCATCCTGCTTCCCCCATCCTGCTCCGATATCCGTCTGGCTGCGTACCTTCTCTGGGAGAATACAAACCATCTAATTTTTTAACGTCAAGACCTAGAATCTAGCCTGAAGCAGGAACATTTACTGATCTTTCCTTTATTTCTCCCTACGCTAGCATTAAGGCCGTGCTTCGCTTTGCGCGAAGTCAGTTACTAAAGGCGACCCTAATTATCGTACGATTGCTAAGATTCGCAGAACCTTGGGATTTGCTTATCTTCTGTTTGTATGTCTCTCCATTCAACTAACAACTATCTCTACAGGAGCTCATTGTCGTTGTCCTAAAAGGGAAACGTATCATGCTGCAATATCCGAAACTATGTCTGTCTCACTTGCATTTTATAGTATAGAAATGGCTGCAGTAGGTGTCACTGAAGGAAAATTAAGCCTTGTGATCTACGGCACATTTGTTGTATCTCAGGAACACATTGGACAAGAAATATAGAATACTCCACTGAATACATACAGTGTAATAATAATAGCAAATATAGCCATTATAGAAGTAAAAATGAGCTACGTAACCCCGGCCTATATTTTCATGCTTTTTTTTTTTGGAAAAAAGTCGGATTTGCGGACTTTATAATCTCTTAATTTGAGCAATTAAGAACTGCTTCTGATAGGAACTCCGTTTAATCTGACGAAAGCTGTCTTCAACGAGTGCTGCTAACTAAGGGTCATAACGCTCCTTCGTGTATTCGTGGAATTTATCTAAACCAAACCGATAGAGGACACGAAAGGGGGAGAGAAAACTCTCTCTAGACGCATAAGAAACAATTCTGGGAGTCTCAGCCACGGACAGGCTCATTCGCTAAAGGGGCCACCCGCTAAGAATTCAAGAGTGCAAAAAGATAACTACCTCCAACGGCCAGCCAATTAACGGGACTGCTAATTGGGAATTGCGGGAAAAGAGATGAGCTGAGTGTCCCTAAAGAGTGCGTCGGCTTGCACGCACAGAAGGTGCCTGAGCACCTCGACAGATAGTCTCGGAGCATCAAATCTTTGCGGTTCGAAAATATACAGTGTACATACGTACGACCTTAGTAAGAGCGCAAACGTTTTACCAAAGTAATCAATCTACTACGAACACTAATCATATCCCTTTTGAACAGCCTTGCTTGTTTATCCCAGTAAGAAAGCAAAGCTGTTCTCATCGAAATGTTACGATTTGCGTCATTCTACTTAAGTTTGCTGATACTTGACACTACAATAAGTGTCTATTCAAGTTTCGGGAGCTATATAAGCTTGAGCTTACATTATGAGTAATAATTCTAATTGAATTTACATAATCTATCTCGCACTGGAAACCCATTTTCTTACACAGATTCGTATATACACATAATACTGCGACATATACCCAATACAGAAATGATCACGTATGAAATACTCGGAATACGTCACGTGAGGTTCATTTGGTTGTGTTTGAGGGATACTTACTGTCAGTCGCTTGGGGAGTTGTTCCAACGGAAATCAATGCTGTCATCTAACGTTCTTTTTGCTTTAAAGCTACAACAATTGTGAATCGCTAAAAATGTCGAAAGTCCGAGGGTGTTGAAGTATAATGCCGTTGTTATGAAGTTTTTGTCGCTATTATTGCGGTAAGTTGTCGATACCGTTATTAAAATCTGCACTAGAGCTTGCTGATCAGTGCTAACTGCTGGTTTGTGTGCAACAGCCTTCAGAGCCCACTCGCAATTAGTGAAAGGGGCCGAGGAGGCTAGCGGCACAGTGCAGCGGTGGCAGCTGTGGATAAGCCGAGGGGCAACTGTCTCCCCATCTGAGGCTTGTGCGCTTCGAAGGGAAGTTCCGGTGGCGAACCAGGTTATTGCCGTTGCTTTTCTGGCCCGGACTCATGTATGGCATACGATGGTTACACCTCCCGGACGAGACAGCCGATAAAGTAATGACGCCGATTATTTCAGCGTTATGTGTCGCCCTCGATAACGAGACCCCGCCTCCAATTGAGACAGGAAAAGCCCTCACCACTCGTTTGGGGGCAGTACAGCTCCGAATACCTCTACCGATGATTGCTGACAATTGTGTTTTTGCCGGGTACTTGAGTCCGGGCCAATGAGGCAGGATATTCGGCGTAAACTTCGATAATAACAACGATAACTGTTCGTTCGTTCTTGTTCTTTCTATTATCTCCAGGTAATAATTGTTGTCTCTAGAATATTCGTCATGCTTGGATGCAACGCACTAACGCACTGTTCTGTAACCACAGCACTTTACGACGAGCATTGATTGTTCGATCCAATTTACACTGCCCGGCAGTCGACCACCGCTGCCAATCTACAATAATGAAGTTTGAGCATGGCACAATTGCGAAACGCGATTACAGCCCAACGCCAGGTATTTGAACATTTACAAAATTTTTGCGCTGCCCGAAGGCCCCTCAACCGGAGCCACCCGCAATCAGCGGCTGTTGACCTCTGTATTCGCCTTGCGTTCATGGGCTGCCGCACTGGCGACAAAGTAGGATGCTTCAATTGCCGCTTGTAGTGGCAGCGATGACGGTGTCATTGGGGCCGGGGATCGGACAATGAGTCCTTGTCAGTCCATAGCTCCGACCGTTGTAACAGAAGTGGCAAGACGCAGGAGGCGGACGGTGGCGCCGCCACGATGGAAAGGCCAAGATCCCAATCAATACTTTTCGAGGGAGAGAGTCGGAGCAAGATAGCAAGACAGAGGTCGATTGCCTCACAGTTACTCCACTGCTGTTCGCCTGTCAGTAACGACGCAGCTAGAACATTACGGCGACCACGGTTGCGCGAGAGTGGGAGAGGGATGGAGTATCGCAGGCCGCGGCTGTCGTCGAAATTCAGACGAGGGCAAGGACGGGTAGCGTGCTGCTGCTACTCTTGCTGCAGCTCTTACTGCTAGAACCCTTGGAGAGGTACGGGGCGAACTGCCGGCGCGCAGACGCACAAACGCGCAGCCGCGGACATAAACTTGAACAGACATCATCCATGTCCTTTTCGTCCTTTCTCTATCCTGGTAGATTCACTACAGGCATTTTCTTCCAACTTTCCTCTGCAGAGTCAAGAAGGCCACCATAGTATACCATAGCGTAGGCAATACCAGTTTGGCGAAAAATAGCTCTATATTTAGGACGGACGAAATGAAAGAATTACTCAGTGCCTTCCTACTCCCTTTCCTTTTACTGCCAATCCCTTTGCGCAAATGCTGATCCATCTGTCTTCGACAAATGATCGTCCTTAGCCCGAGCAATGCCTAGGTGGTTATAGGTAAAAAAAAAAAAAAGGAAACGTAGGAGTTTTGAGCAGCGAGTGTAGTCCAAGCGTGCTTCAGTGGTACAGCTTGCGTCTATGCTATGGGTCATTGGTAGTGTGAAGTGCGATGTAAATAGTGTGCAGAGACTCTTCGATGGCTAAGGCAATTGACTAATATGTCATATCTCAAGCGGCGATCGAAATCACTGTAGAACAACATCTGCTGCTTTGACGAAGCACGTCACAGTTGAATTGATTTACACGTTAAAAACGGTTAGCCGGCTAAAAACATCTCGCCTTATTAATTAGAGGCTTCGATAAGATGACGAAATCCTGTTGTTCTCATGTTTGGACAGAGTGTTGTTTTTATGAGAAGGCTAGTGGAACGCAAACCTTTATTAAGCAAGAGTAGGTGTTTTTATATAGGCCATAAGACTTAAGCCGCGTGTAACGTATCTCAGTGCGAATAACTACAATAACAAACCTTACCTTAATCTTTCTTTGAGGGAAAACGAAGCTGGCTTCGTTTTTACACATCTACATTTATTGAACTTTATTTCTTTCTATAGAACCGTTTCTATTGAACCTCATTCGAGGTTTCCAGCTTCGACAGAAGATCACAAGATTTTTCTTCGAAATAATTGAATTTTGTGATTTTTCTTAGTTTTTCTAAATGGCATAATTAATTATGTATTGAGTAAGATTACTCAATTTAAAGCAGTAGGGAATCTCTTCGGTGGCCGAAGTTTCAACAGAAGCTACTGGAATTTTTTATCATATGGCTTCTACTTTCCTGCCTTTTCCAGGTTCGTGCAAAACCGTGCAGCTGCACAAGGCATGAGATGCGCAATTTGCACAGGCGAGTAAACCTTCTCCCTAGAAAAAGTTTTTATTTAAACGAACTTCAGATCTCCTTAATATATGGACTGAATGTGAGGGATACCGTGATTACCTTTTTTTGAAGTAGCCTCATTGCCAGGTAGTAATCATACGACATTATTATCATAAATTCAACTACAGAAAGTTCCAGACAATAACGAGCCCCAATGATTCGATTTACGCGCATTTCAGACCCGAATATTATGTCTGCTGCTGTCGTATGTCTGTCCCCAAAGTCATGATTGGCTCTACAAAGCTAACGTACAAAACGAGTATTATGCAGTTATAGAAGCGATGATTGAACGATTCTACAAAACGCTTCAGAGAAGAGAAACACGGAAAGGCATTACCGTTGCGCAACTCTGCCGAACAGTCGTGATCCTTCTTTCAATGGACCTTAATTTTTCTAAGTAGGACACTATTGCTACACATTTACAAGGACATATTTCCCTTGCGAGATTTCTAATATACTAATGTATGGATTCTCACTTTCTATTCGTTTCGTGGTACATAGTCACAAGAAAGGCGAAAATCTATACACATGATCGGAGGCTATATATTTCCCAAACTGGTTTTAATTGGCGGATTTAGAACGAATTTGAATTATATAGGCCGAAATGTAGGCTTATATTTCGCACAATTATGTCTTCGTGTACTGCATTAATATTTCCAACTATTTACGGTAAGTCAGCGAGCAACGTAAAAAGCTTACTTCCATCAACCACCTACGTTAGTGTTCAACTCTACCGCCGCTAGGGCTTACATTAGCTTATTATTAGTTATCCAGCACATCAACTTGAGTAGAACTTCATGCTTTTTTACTTGAACTTTTAATGTATAAGTTCTTTTTTCGCCCATATTTTACCTTGGTAATGGAAGAAAAAGATCTCAGTCTAATTAGACCGAAACTAGCTGGAGAATTATCGAGCGCCATAGGATAAGTTAATCAATAAATTATAATCGATTGTTACTATTATTCAACTTATTTATAAGAATAATATATATATATATATATATATATATATTTAAACCGTTAAAAGTATAATAATATATTTAAACACATCAGAAAATAGTTGTTCATTGCTTTTATAATCCTCAATGGATGGGCCATTTGTTGGCATTCAATTGCTGGTAACATCTGAATCGAAACCATTTTATATATACGCATTTCCATATCTATTTGCTCTATAAACTAATTTTATATTCAGCTGTTACTATACCCACACCTAGATTAGTCTGCTTGACCAACGGTAAATGATAATCAGCGTTATAGCTTGACTGAATAATACGTTTTCTATCATAATGGACGGACGTACGGGCGGAGCGGGCATGAAGCGACGACGGATAGTTCACTCTAGTATAATCGAGTCGTTTATAATGGAAACAACATTTAACCTGTCTATTCAAGGAAGTACGCATACCTTAACCATAGAAGGGGCATTCTGTAATGCGGGTTCTCTATGCCCGACGTAGCCAAGGAACGATGCAATAAAACTTTTACCCGAGAGATTAGAAGGCAACGCTGGCGCTGAAGTTGACAAAAACGTACACGAAAACGGCAGGACAAGCAGACGGAATCGCAGGTCTAAAAAAGTTTATTGATGGGCGTGTCATACGAAACATTTTGAATTAAGCAGCAACAACCGAAGCTCGCCAGTAAATAATTACAGTAAATACTTTATTTTACGCTAGCACAAAATAACATATAGTAGATAATTGTTTGTTAAGCAAAGCCATCAGATGACCGCAACAATCGTCTTTTGTAAAGCTATTGACTGCCATTTACGCTGGGATAATTCGAGCACAAACAGAGAAACGGGACAGGAAGGCACATGGCTAGTCATTGTTAGTTATATAGGAAAAGCATTACATCTCCTTACAATTATCCATGTTAACTTTAAGGTCCACCTAACACTATCGGCACGACAATATATACATGGTGTATATGTTAGGGGCATCTAATTAAACAAACTAGTTAAATATTATTGGTAATAAAGCTAAATATTACATGTTAATCGATAGCTGATTGTAGCCAATGGCATTGATGCCAATATATCTTTATTCGTGATTAAGTGAAGTCTCCAAGCAAAAAAGAACATAACCCGCCCTTTAACGTTTCAATTGGCCATTTTTTAATAGAAACTGTACGCGAGCAAATTCTAAAGGTCCCCAGCCTGCCATTAGAGACGAATAGATAGCCCAATACATACCGTGCCGTGACTGGTCTTAAAAAATAAATAGGTACAGTTGTGCAAATAGAAGAAGATCTTTATTTGTCACAAATGACAGACATTAGATAGATTTTCGTAAATGTCTTTATTTGCTTGTATACTTTTAGTATTTGTGACTCTTGAATGAAGGCGAAACTCAATCCAGAACTGGAAGATAAATGAAGTCCCATGCGGCCCTTATGAGGGGTTACTTTTGCAAATATTCACTTATGGACATCAGCCGATTTCAAACCTATTTTTAATAAACGAAATAACTTTTCTGACTTCCCCGCTGCGTAACACCTTAAGGAAACGTAATGTCTTGCTGATAAATCTTACCACGTTTGTTATTTTTCAAGTGAGCGAATCCCCTGTTGAGGGACTCGACGGAAAGCTATAGGCTGCTGTTCGTGTCCTCCGTAGAAATCCTAGCCACAGGATTTGTCTTGTTTGCGCTCTATCTACATATGCTTACGGGCCAATGAGAAATCGGATAGGCACCGCACACCCATTGACAAAGTCCCATTGACAGTACGACGCAAACCTAAAGCTGGGATTTGTGCCAATAAATCCTGACAATATTGCCAGGATTCGCTTTTAAAATCAAACAGTATCCACTGGGGAAGTGTCAATGCATTATTGAACGATTTATTGAATACCCATTGTCCTTGATTATCATTTTAGTAGTTGGTACTTTCTACGGACATTCACATGCTGAAATCGCCTTTTTATAGCCAAGGATTCAAAGGATTCGCGTCTCTGTAGCTAGACTATAAACTATTTATAGCGTAATCGGGTTCGTAGACTATAATAATCTATTTACATTAAACTGGAGAAAATTGAACATTTTATCTGGTTCGTTTTGTGAATCTATGGAGTACACAGATTGTAATGATAGGGAACTAATTCAAATCTCCTTAATTAGGCTGTAATATTGGTAGACCTATTTTTTTAATGTTTGTTTTTTCTTTAGCTCTGTATACCGTTTGGAAACGCTGTCGTTCTGATAGCCTTTGCAATGTCAGTGACCATTTCTGGCTCCAAAAGTCAGTGGCCTTTGTAAGAAAGATGTACTCTCTATTTCGTTTTTGCCGCGACTAAAAGGTTGTCGAAGCAGCCCGAGATAATCGTTTTGTATATGGTGCGAACTCCCTACTTCAAGGTACCCCTGGAAAATTGTTTGTCCGTCCCGATAGGACATAGCACGTCAATGAGAAACGCCCTAGGGTTTTTTAAATGAACACGGCCGGCGAGCAAAACGCTGCCTCAATGACAGATTCACACACAGAATCGTTTTGACCGACTAGAAAT